GTGTGTGTGTGTGTGGTGTGTGTGTGTGTGTGGTGTGTGTGTGTGTGTGTGTGTGTGTGTGGTGTGTGTGTATGGTGTGTATAGTGTGTATGGTGTGTATGGTGTGTAGGGTGTGTAGGGTGTGTATGATGTGTATGGTGTGTATGGTGTGTATGGCGTGTATGGATGGTGTGTATGTATGGTGTGTATGGATGGTGTGTATGGATGGTGTGTATGCATGGTGTGTATGGATGGTGTGTATGCAAGGTGTGTATGTATGGTGTGTATGTATGGTGTGTATGGTGTGTATGTGTGTATGTATGTATGTATGTATGTATGTATGTACGTACGTACGTGCCTACCTACGTACGTACGTACGGACGGACGGATGGATGGATGGTGTGTGTGTGTGTGCTTCTTCTTGTGATTGCTGTCGTATTATATATACATATGTTTCTGTGTATGTTTCTTTCTTCTTCTTTTCTGTTTGTTATTCTTTTGGGCGGGGGGAATGAACGCCGCTTGGCAATGCAATGTTGTAAGGGATGTCTTCTAAGCCACTTCCCCGGGAAATGTGCTCTTATTTACTCAAAACATGACCGTCGGGGGTGTTGTTTGGGCTGGTGAGGGATTTGCTTTATGACTGTTCTGCGCAGGCATACCAAATGATGTCGTCCGAAAGCGCTGGAGCATTTGCCAACGCCGACTCACAGCAGGAAGCGCTTGCAACGCCCAAGTTGACGCAAAAGCAAGTCGCCGGTTGCGGCAACTCAGCCGCGAAGTCGGCCAGCAGCTGGTGTTGCTTCCGGTGTACCTTTGCCCAAGCTGCGAGAGTTGCGCAGTCACGCACGAGGGCAACAGGGCCCATTGCGGCAGGAGCTCTTTCAATTGCCGCGTCGCATGTGTTGCATTGATGTATTCCAGGCATGTTTGATGGGATAGTTTTATTACTCGACGTGTTCCGCGCGCTGCCGCGTGCGGCATGTGGCTCAAGGGCAACCAGCACCATGGGGCTGGGTACAATGTCGCTGGAGGTTGACCAGGTGCACGTGAGAGCACCGGCGCTGACATCGCTGCACACTCAAATGATCAACAAGCGCATTGGCAAGCGAGCTGCTTCAAGCAGAAGTCTCTTGGGAAATATCCATCGTCCCAGTTAGTTCTGAGATTCAATCTAAATTTCCGTTTGAAGCTAGGACAGATGAAGGTTTCATCTTGGTTTTATTTGTGGTCGCTGAGTATGTTCGCTGAACTCATCTGCGGCACAGGAGTTGAAACGCGGATGCTCAGCGGATTTCCATGGTTGGAAGAAGGGCACCCGTTAAACTTTTTAGCTTCAATTGATGGTTGATTTTAAAGTGAAGGCCTTCCCAAAAGGGAAAAGTGGCAACTGAGATGTGAAGAAAGATTGCGCCAGAAAGCCTTAGTGGGACGCACGGATGAGCAGAGTTGTTGACTCTGCTGCGCTTCTTGGTGCAATCTTAGTCTCCGCTCGCGTTCGGCGTTTCCGACAGGAAACGCCTTGCGGATACTGTTTCAGAAGCAAAGATTTTGAGGGGCGCACTCCGCCGATGCGTCTGGGGTCCCGGGGCAAGCCGGAAGGAATTCCAATCCACTCAACTGCGTCCTGTGGGGCAACCAGCGAAGCTAAAGAAGAACACATGGATTCAACAAAAGCAGATGCCATGGTTCAAACTCGTGGAGTTTAGGATCTTCGCCATGAGGATCTTGTTCATTTCGTACTTGGCGCGGAATGAGAACGACGTCTGACGCTGAGGAAGGACCGACTGCACTCAGCTGTGGTCAACTTCCAAGGACAGACAGCGCCGACAATGTCGACCAGGACTTTCGCCATTGGGGATAGATTTGGACATCAGGCATTCTTTGGTGCATTCTTTGGTGCCTTCTTGGTGCATTCTTTGGTGGATGGATATGACCGTGGGAGGCGCGAACAGCAGCATCTGGCTCTTAAAAACGTCGGCACCATTTGCTGGGGTGAGAAAGGGAAATCAAGAGGAAACCACCTGCAGTCTCCATGATCCTTGGAGTCATGACCCCTTATTTGGGTAGATGACCCCATTTTCGACGAGTCAGAACCGTAGAGAACCCTTCGCCGGTCTGCATTCCGTTTCCGCGCAAGGCGCAGGCATGCGGACCCTGAAACTCGTGGAAGCGGACAGGGCTCCAAAAATGCTCGTCTTCCAAAATCCCTCCATCTATTCCATTGGAAACAGGGCACCTGTTTGCTTGGTTGATGTTGGAAGGGGAGCAAAAAACTAAACTTTAGCAGTTAAGTGGCGATTTCGCACTAAACCACAATAAGCAGTCTCCCAACAACAACAATGCTTGAGTCAATTCAACGGTCTAAGCTTGCAGTTCCAAGACTTGAGGCACCGCATGCGAATGGGAGAGGAGCGCAACACGTCGACCTACGAACTGGTGAGCATCGTAAACAGCACGTCGCTGTCGATGCCGGCAGATCAGAAGATGGGCGCCGAAATCAGCCAACGCGGCCACACTTCAGGTCTTGCCGGACCCAACTCGTCTGGGGAAACGATTCCATCATTTTGGGGGCATCCCATATCCCATGTCTTGCGCCTGCCTGAGTTTTTTTGGTATCTGCCTGGGCACTGGGTTCCCTCGCCAGGGCGGCACTCCTTTTCATTTCGTCGCATTGGCGGGTCAAAAAAAACAGGAGTCGAAGTCGTCTCCGGGATCATCCATTACGGGTTCTATAGAAATTGGGTGGAGTTTCCCTGGGATATCTTTTTGAAAACCAAACAAGTTGTTGCCCTTGGCTTTCCGTTCCCTGGAAAAACAAATCCCAAAAGGATGCTGGTCTTTTGAGACAAACCCGGAATGGGTGAGACAGCCGGGTTGACGTGAGGCCAGAGGTTTGTCCGAGCGAAGCTCGAGGCTCCTAGGGAGACTTAGATCCCACCGCGCACAGAGGGAATTCATTGTGGTCAACCGCCTCGCAGTTTCACTGGAGGCTGTGATCCGGGGAAGAGCGCCTTGAGGGAAAACAGCAACATTTAATTTTGACCCATACCCATATCTGCACATATTGAATGTTCATCAGCTCTCCCTCAATCACTCAACCCACCCCCTCCGCGTGCACAAAAATCCGGGCATGCCCCTTTTGTTGCTCTTGAATCGATGAGATGAAGGATGAAATCCTAAGGGCCTTGAGATCAAGCGCGACCCAGACACGGGCAGTCAGCCCCAGCACTTAGGCTGTAAGCGGGCTGCGCGAGCCGAGCTCCGCATCTCGTCTCACCGGACACGGATCCGTTTTCTTCCGGCGCGACGGCATTTAGCCGGGTGCTTTTTCACCAGCACCAAGAAAAGCTCCAGCAAGAACAAACCAAACACCCAGTGGCCATGGGAAAAACGTCCATTTTTGGGTGAATCAAGTTTAGAGGTCTTTAGAGGGGGTTCCACCCCCTCTCCCAACAAGGGGAAACAAGGCCTCTGGGTGTCTGGTTGCAAAAACGAGACCCCAAAAAACCCTCTGGCGTCCGTGGGGTTGGTTGACCCAGGCATGGCCACACTTTCAAACTAAGCTGGACTGCAGCTGTTACAGATTTACTGCGCCCAAAACCCACCCACCAAGGGTGACACCCAGAATCAATGGCAGCAACATGGTTCCTAGGCCCTGTCACCGTAGAGCTGATCCTATGAATTTCGCTTGAAGCTTCTTCTTTTTTTTGTGGGGGGGGGGGCGGCGGTTTAGGCGCGTGCAAGCGGCTCACTGGCCCCAATTCCTTGCAAACGATTTCGCCTCAGGGCCGCCGTGCTTTCGGGATTTTTGGCTTGGCCCGAGGGGATGAGTGGCCACACTTGACTTGATCCATTTTTTTTCAAGCATTTGCTAGGGACCCTGCAACCCACTTTGGGGGTGCCGGTGGGGCAAGTTTTGGTGAAGGACGCCGAAAGGAAACCAACTGTTGGCAGAATCCCGGGACTCTCGAGACCTGGCACCACTAGGATTTGTGGAGGCAAGGCAAAAACCCGAAACCCTCGAGATCTCTTCATTCTCGTAGCTGAAATGGCAGTGGCTCAAACCGTGTATTCCTGGTGAACATCAAGATAGGTGGCAAATGGATCTTCATCCACCCCAAAATGGAGCCATAGGTTATGCCCCATGGCCAAATCGATAACTTGAAATGTGTTGCAACTTCAATCTTGGCAGGAATTGGGACCCCAGCTAAAAAATATATATATGTTTGCCTGGTTAGTAAAAAACAAAGGGGACCCCAAAAAAGCCAGAAATGAAAAAGGGGAGCTAATTCTGGGGAATAATCTTGGATTCCCTTGCTGTCTGAATTCAAAGTGTGGGGCTGCAGCCTTGGGCTGTCAGTCGCAAAAGCCGGATCAACTTGATCTCTATTCGGGCGTGTCTCGTTCATGTTTGGTCCATTGATGAACAATTGTCGCTTTTGGGTTTGCTTTGAAGGCCATAAGTGTTGCCTCCAACCGGGTGAAATTGTGGCGAAAGGGAAGCCACCGTGTCCAAAAAAGCTGGGTGACGCAAAACACCCATTGGAGGGATTTGCAAAATTGAAAAACCACGCCAGGGACATGTGAAGTCTAAGCCACTTGTTGGAGCTATATCTAGGGAAAATTCACCCTTCAGACGAACTTTTCAGCTAAGAAACCATGTGCGAGGGACATGCTCACAAGGGTGGGATTTCCCTCCGGTTTCGGTCTGACCCATGCAAAGGGCTTCCAACCACAAAAACACGAATCTGGGTTTGTCTCTCAAAATTAGGGGACCTCCAAAAAGAAAAAAAGGTGAGAGTTTCCTTTTGGCTTCCCTTTAAAACCAACCAAAAGGGCGCTCCCAAAAAAACGACACACCCAAGTAAACCTGACATGAATGGAAACCGGGAGCCGTTTTCCTTGGGTGCCAGGAAACCAAACAGCGGAAGCAAACCCACCTTTGGGGGTCCCAAAAACGACACAGCCTCACTTCATCAGCGCGAGCCAGCCATCACCTCGACTCTTTGGCCCCGCGCTCAAATTGCAGTTACCTGGCGCGTTCGATGCGGCTGGCTGCAACTGACGCCCCATGCATGTGGCCTGCGGTGTTTTCTGCCGCAACTAAAAATCCAATGGGGGGCACAAACCTCTCTTCCTCTCCACGACTTTTAGAAGGCCACGCCTGGAAAGAAACATCTACTGCCTGTCGATGCCTGGGTATGACACCACAGGGGCCATCTGGCTCATGGTTGCCCCTTACAAACCACGAGGCATCACACAACCTGAAGGAAGCGCATTCCAACATGACACGAAGCATGTCCGAAGACTTACACCTCGCCATTCAGTGAATCTTGATGCAATCGAACATCACAGCTTGGTTCCAACGCCACCCTGTGGACAGAACCCATAAAACACAACCAGTTGGGATGGAACCGCCAATCCAACTGGCTGTGAATTTTCCAGACGCCTGGTGGCCATTGGAAGAAACAAACACACGCTCTTTTTGTTGGCCGTCGGGGTTTCCCCCCTCCAACAAAAGCAAGAAGGTTATTAAACAGAGTATTTATCCTGTCAATTAACCAGCTAATAACCACTAGTTTACTACACTGTTCATTAACCAAGGCGCACCAGGGGATTTGGTAAGTCTTCCAAACACGCGTGCCTGGGTGGTCCCCTGGGTGTCGCGAGACACTGCCGGTGGGGACGCCTGGCATCGCGGAACCACCCACCCACTTGGGCGGGTTTCCCCATATGAGCTCCTAATGCGCTTTCAAGGGGAGTCTAAACCCCTATATTGGGGGAACACCTCGAAATGGGTGTGGCTGGGTGTTCTTTGGGCCCGGGCAGGATGCAAAACGACGCCTGACCCCCCCCCCCCCCCCACACTTGCTAGATGTCCCACATACGCAGCTGAGGAAACTATGAACAGAAATGGGGGGGGTCTCTCTTCTGCTGAGCGATGTATACTTGCCCTTTCACTGCATCCAGGGAAAACTGGACATGATTAGAGTTAGGCCCAGTTATAGAATGTATATTTCATTGTTTGCTTCACTTTGAGTCACTGGTAAAATGCAAAATGTATCCTAAGTCTACCCCAGTGGAAGTATAGCCTTTGCAGGGGGCACTGCTTTTCTTGGGGGTTCCATCTTCAGGATGAATCTCTGGCCTCCTCGATGGGCTGGTCTGAAGGGACGGACTGGTCATAGTCCGTGCGCGCTGAAGCCGGCTCAGAGGAATCCTCGTCGTAGTAGTTGTTCATGTTGTCCTGCCGCTGCCAGCTTGGGTGAGACCCTTCGAGGATTGATTCTGGGCCACTCGTGAAGCTTAAACCTGTTTGGGGTCCCTTGCCCCTTTCTTTTGCGTGAATGCCATGTTACCAAAGCTCGATTGCTCCTTTCTGTTTGAGGGTTGCAATCATTGAGGGGAAGGCATGATTCCAGAACCCTTTGCTAAGTGCGATTCCAGTCCATCATCTCGCCCGAGTAGGCGGGGATTTCCACATCCGGGGCTTCCGGGCCTGCATGCAATCGGGCCAGCGCACTTTGCAGAAGGAACCCACAAACTCCGTTGAGGAACCTCCGATTGGGATTGGCTGTCCTTTTGGGATATGTCTGTCCCGACTGAGAGGAAAAAATAAATCGCACCACGTGGAGCTTGCACATGTCAGCTATCAGGATTGCACGTATGATCCTGGCACAGGAGCACTGTACCTGAAGGGCAACACACATGGACCTGGGGGAACTTGGGCCAAATCGAAGCATTCTCCCATGGGTTCTCAACCAACAACCATCGTTTCAGCAATGTGCTTTAACAGGTCCTCTTTTCGGAACAGAAAGGGACGTTGTGGAGGCCTGCGTTTTTTCAGTGATTGTAATTTGTGTTGTTTTTGAAGTTTTATGCCTTCACGAGCAGAAGTCTGTGGCCTTCACAAGTGTCCTCCCTTAATTTGTTAGCATCCCAAGGAACAAGAAGAAACAAACATGAAATGCAGTGAGGTGGTCTGTCGAACGCTAGATTGTTATTATTGGTTAACATGGACAGGTAACTAGCATCAGAAATGGATACCTCTGTTCAACGAAACCCGTGTTTTCCTTGCAAAAAAACGTGTTTTTCATGTAGCGCAATGTAGCTCACGTAAATTCTTTGGGACTGACCATAGGAAGCCTACTGATCAAAATCCGCCGACCCCCTTCGTCCCTTTCCACCCAAATTTCCCACGGACCCCTGTTTCTCCAGAGCCTCTCCCCAAAAAGGACGGTTAGTAGGACGTCATCAAATTGCCGCGCTACGTGGGAGGGGGGGGCGGCAAACCACGCGTAATTGACGTGTCCCGGGGAGGCTAGGGGGGGGGGTCCTCTATCCTCTCTTAGGTGTCCGACAGACCCGAACCGGCAGAGAGCCGGCAGGACCCCTTTTTTCCACACCCGCTCCCAAAACATAACTTTGTGTAGAACGTCATCAAATTGCGCCCAAGCAGTGTCCAAGAGAGAGAGAGAGAGAGAGAGAGAGAGAGAGAGAGAGAGAGAGAGAGAGAGAGAGAGACTGCAAGAAGCCTTCCACAGGGCCCGCCAAAAGACCGAAAACAGCATTGCCGCAGCCCACTCCCCTGGTGGAAATTGCAAGGGACATGAAAAGAAGTCTCGGGGACACGACTCAGAGACAAAGGGAAGCTGAGATGTAAGGCAAACAGCACGCCCCCAGATGTGGAGGGGAATGACGGGGAAACAAGGATGTATTTTCGACCTTCCAGGATTCAGCCTGGTTTCAAGGACCCGAAAGCTTCTAGGCGTCGCAAGGGCACTGGGTTGTCCACATGAGCGCTCACATGCCCTACCCTTGCCTCTTGAGACGGCATTTTGTTCTTTCAAGAAATCGTTATCGCTTGGAGATGTTCGTCCGATTACAAAAGAAGCCAAGAGAAGGGAAGATAAGAGAAGATAAGAGAAGAGCAACGCAGAAACAGGAAGAGAAGAAGAGGTCAATGTCGGCGGACTGAGCCGGAGGCTCTAAAGTTGTGTTGATGACCTATGGAGGGTGCAAGTAGAATAAGTTATTCTCTTACCTCCTCCCGTACCGTTTATTGCATGCCACCAGCCAGCATAGGAGCTAGAGATCTTATCTCTAATAATGCAGACAAAACATTAGTGCAGCCCCCCTTGTTTGCTGGAACCAGCATCTTGCATCTCCACTTGGCACGCATGAAGCTCACAAAGGGCTGGTGGAATGAAGGCCTGTGCAAGTTGTGGTGATGAGAGTCTTTGCGCCACTTCTGAATCAACTACAGGCAGATCACAAGTCATTTTGCCAGTAGATCCGGAAATCTGAGTGGCAAGGCAAACCACCTGGCAAGTGGGCAAAACTAATGTCTGCATCATTAGAGCTAGGATCTCTAGCTCCTATGCTTGCTGGTGGCATGCAATAAATGGTACGGGAGGAGGTAAGAAAATAGCTTATTCTACTTGCACCTTCCATAGGTCATCAACACAATCTCTGATCAGTAGATCTCTTAGTCATATCTAAAAACAATTTGTTCTTAGAGAAGCAATAAAACAATGGAACGCAGAAATGTTTTGCCCTAAAAGAAAACAACTGTCTTCTTTCTTTCTTCTTTTTTTGGAAAAACACAACTTTCACTGAACAACACAGACCTCCACAGCGTCGCACACTCTTGCGGAACTGGCACCCCAAAAGGCCACAAATTCCACTCGGGAGCTACCTCAACAGTGGGTGGACATAAACGCCCACCCAAACTCAGTTGCCCAAAGGACGCGGAAATAAAGGTTAACCTTTTGGGGCCATGACCAAAATGGAAACAGGGGAAACTGGGGGTGAAAGGGTCGATTCGCTGTGGTTGCGAGTGAGTCGTATGGTGTCCACCATTTCTTTGCTGGTTCTCAGCAGGGAATGAGAAAGGGAATGACCCCTATAACCCATTGCCTATAGTTTCCTTTCAGGAAATCCCCTTCCGGCTCATTCCCGACACCCATTCCCTACATATGCAAGCAAAGCGGGTCCAAACGGAGTTCCCTCTACACAAGGGAGTTTCCTCTACACATGGTCGATGCTTTTTTGGGTTCCATGAACCAGGGGTCCCCAATCAAAGTCCATACACAGGACATCTGGCTGTGGTTGTCAAACCCGTTTTGGGATCCCATTTTGGTTGGTGAATTCACCACCCATTTTAGGCTTCCTATTTTAGTGGTTGGATTGAATCGGATGTTCATGGGGGCTAACCGATTTGGCTTTTGACCCATGGCCATCTCAGTGCGGGGCTGGCATCACCCCACTCATCGAAGCGCTGCTGCCGGGTACGCTCCTCAAGCGCCGGGGAAGCTGTCCTTTCTCCGGTTTACCTTCAAACGCCCCGAAAAGGATAGCTGGATCGCCAAGGTGCGATCGGTTTTTTCGGTCACTGTTGCTGTTTTTGGGGGTAAAGTGGATGGAAACAAACATCAACTGGCGATCCAGGTAGCAACTCCACCTTTAGTCTGAACACCCCCCCCTAACAAGCAGGTGCTCAAACGGAAATCTTCAAAAACCACCGCCCAAGCACCCTTCCGTGACTCTAGCTCCTGCGCACTGACGCGATGGCAAGTAATTAGTTCAGCTTGACACCCCAAAACACCACCCCTAAACATGTTGCAGGATACGTGGGCCCCATGTTTGAGAGCCATCGCCTTTGGGATTTGCAGAGTATTCAAAGCCATCCGTTGAATGTCCGTTCCCTTCAGATATCCCCGGTTTCTGATGAAATAACCCAAGGGGCTTCGGAACAAAAAAAGAGCGACGCCAGGCCATCGCAGAACTTATCTTTGTACATCCACAAATCTTGCACTCAAGGTTTCTAGGTCCTCCAGTAGAGCGGTTAGAATAAGGGTACCCTTTTTCGGTAGTCTACTTTAGCAGGGGAACCCTCCCAACCAACAAAGAAACGGTACAAGGGCACCGAGCCGGACCTAGTTTTAGCGTCTGAAGGCCGGGAAACCATTCCATCCGCCGCGCCTTCTTCCTGATCCACCAGCGCCCGAAGACGCAGCCGATGCCTTCGCGGTTGCTTGGCTGATGGGCGACCGGGCTCTGCACTGGGTATGTCTAGGACTAATTTGGAGCGCCTAGCCAAGTTGCTGCTGTTTTCAGCCGGTTTTTTGGGTAAAGTGGATGGAACAAAAACCGCAACTGGCGATCCAGGTGCTTTCATTTTGCCTTCCTCAGCATCCCCTCCAAGAGAGTCCCCCTCAAAAGAGGGAACCACACCGAAACTCCCCCTGCTGAAGGGAAAACTTCGCCGGAACACTGAGCTGTCCCCATTTGGATCTGTCTTGTCATTAAAACCCCCCCATGCTAAACCAGGAACCCGAGCCTCAAACAAGGAACACCCTTCATTTGCGGATCTCCTGGAAAACTAAAAACATAGCTCCCAGTGACCGATTCCCTTTAAAACCAAGAGAGCAAATATAACCACATAAAACATGCCCAGTAGTGATCAAAGGAAGTTTAGAAGAAACTTCCGCAACTAGTACGGAAACTAACTGAAAGGTAGTTCAACGCAAATAGATAACGTTAAAATGATCGGATAGCGTATGCGAAAAGATAGCTCTTGCAGATACCTTTCCGAAGTAAAGGTTGCCTGCCGTGAAAAAGTACAGCGAGTGAAGGAGAAAAGAAGAGAAGGGAAGAAAGGAGAAAAAGAGAGGCACAAATAGCCAGCTTGACAAATAGATCAGACAGCCCAAGAGAAAGATAGCTTTACAAATGGCTAGCTTAACAGCGAGAAAGCTTGACAGAAACAAAGCCTGACAGATCGAAAGCTTGACAGACAGAAAGCCCAACATAGATCAACTGGGCAAACAGTTGGTTTGACAGAAAGAACGCTTGACAGATAGATAGCCCAACAGATAGGTAGCTTGACAGGTGGATAGAAAATGGCTAAGACAAACCGATTGCTGAACAGGCAGAGAGCTTGACAGATGGACAGCCCAACAAATAGATAGGTGAACAGAAAGGATAGCTAGGCAGATACCTCCATTTGCTTAAGTCCCCTGGCAAAAATAAATATGTTCAGTAGTGATAGATTCCTTTTCCAACAGGGGAAAACACAAAATATTCTTAACCAAGTGGAAGGATAGCTGGTAGTCGGACAGACTGGACAAATAGCTGACAAACAGACTGCTTGCCAGCCAGAGCTCAGCAGCAAGTCCCATACAGACGCACGCGCGAGTGAGGCAAACAAGCAGGATTTAAACGATAATCTCCCTGAGGCCGAGTGGGATCGCGAAGATGTCTTTTAGAGACTTCTGACTGCCTGTGCCGCCTTTCCTGGGATCATGCGAAAAGATGGCCCTGCAACTAGCTTACAGAAGATCAGATGGCTTACGCGAAAAAGATTGCGTGTGCAGATAGTTTCCTGAAGTGAAGGATGGCTGCCGTGAAAAAGTAGATGAAAGCGGAAGGAGAAGAGAGTAGAAAAGAAAACAAGAAAAGAGAGGCAAAGAGAAGAGGTGACAATGTTCATGTTGCATGACAGCGCTTAGAGATAGCTCAAAGTGAGCGCCCTGTGCGTATTTTGCGTGTTCCGGGAAGCGCAAATCAGATTTTCGGGGTGGGTGCGGAACGGGTGCGGAAGGGGCTCGGAATGGGTTCGGCGCCGGGCCCGTTGGCACAGACGCGCGCGCTCTTCTCGACATGGCTGTGGCGGCTGTGGTTGTCAAAACCCTGTACCCCTGGTGAATAGGTGGTACATGGGTGTTCATCCGCCCCAAAATGGAGGCATAGGTTATGACCCATGGCCACATGGGTTTGCGGTCAAGGTGCGCGCAGATGCGAGGCAGATTTTGTCAAGCAAATGCACTGCCGTCGGGAGACACTGATGCCTCCAAAAGGGGCAAAGTTGAACTCGTGTGGCCTCACTGACGCTACACTATGGGCCTCAGAAAAACGTGGCCACTGCGGCCGGAAACTGGCTGGGCAACTTCCCCGGCACCACACGCGAGCCCAGGCAATCGCTATTCTACGCTTCTCCTTCGCGTGGATGGGGTAGCTGAAAACCTGCCCGCACGCTGTCTCGCTGTCTTGTCTGCCGATGGCACGCAAGCCCAGCGAGGTGCAGATCTGCCGCGGCAGATCTGCGCAAATGAAGCCAGCGCAAGGTGGCCAGCGGCTTGTCCAAGCCGCAGCTGGATGGATCTCCACAGGCCCAGCGCTGTCAAGGCTGCAGTCCTGCGGGACAGAGAACATCGTTGGCACCGTTGGCAGGGACAAAGGCGCGTGCAGATTTCGTGGCAGCAGCAGCAGCTTCGCAAGGTCAGGTGATAGCTGAATAGCCAGATAGCTATAGATACACAGTCAGATAGCTGAATAGCCAGATAGCTAGATAGGTAGATTACACAGATAGAACAATAGACAGAAAGTGAATTAGAACGATCATATGGCTAGCTAAATGGATAAGGAAGCGCAAACCACCTCTGCTGCGACGCCTGCTTTTTGCGATAGCCGGGCAAATAGTTGGCTGGACAGATGGATTGTTCGCCAGGCAGAAAGATGCACAAGCGCAAGTGAGACAAACAAGAAGAAGGTTTCATGACCATTTCGATGAGTCCGAGTGGGATCGCCAAAGAAACCCCATAGTGAGTATATATTTCTGGTAGCTGCCTTCAAAACGTCACACGATATTCTAGTGGATAGATTCCCTTGAAACCCAAGAGGGGAAAGCAAAACAATATATAAGACATGTCCAGTGATAGATGTCCTTAAGGATTGGCCAAACAAACAGGTCCAAACTCGTTATTTACCACAAAACCGGTCCAATCCCAACAAGTCTTTCAAGTCCAAAGTCTTCCCAACAAGTTTCAAGATCCAGGACCAATTGGCCAAAAACAGGTCCAAACTCGTTATTTACCACACAACTGGTCTTACAAGTCCAGGACCTGCGAGATGTGGTGGTCATTTGCCTGGCCATCGCTTCGTTACCCGGGACCTTCGCACCGAAACCTCCGGGCGTGGACAATCGAACAAGCGGGGATACGGAGGGAGCGGGGAATTTGGTGGGATTCCAACTTGGAATCCGCCATTTCCCATCCACTTCAAGGTGCAAACGGGGGAATCCTCCCGTATTCAACTGGTTCCCCCTGTATCGCGAGTTGGTTTCCCTGAGGCCCAGTGCACCACCCATCTTAGAACCTACTTTAGTGTTTGGATTGAATCGGATCTTCACTTGGGGCTACGATTCGGGGTTTTAAACCACAAGAAGCAAACACATGTAAACAAACATGTTTCCCAACAACCACCATGCTTCAACCCCAGCACCGCACCGCACCCAAAAAAAAACAAAAAACAAAAAACGCGAGCCCTCTGGGGAGGCCCCGAGGCCCCCCGAGGATCCCCGGGGCCCCGGGCACAGGCCGCAGGCGCCCAAGCCGAACAGGGCCGCCATGAGCCCCGCCACCAGCCCCGCGTCGATCATCAGCGGAGCTGGCGATCGGTCAGTCGCTCGATCTCCACTCGGCGAACTTTTTTTTGGGGGGGGATGCGAAGCGACGGCAGAAAAGTGTTTTTTGTTTTTCCGGAGCGCCAAAATGGGTTGTTGTTTTTTTTTGAGCTGTTGAACACTTTAGGCTGGTTTTGGAGGCTCGGCACTCTCTTTTGGTGGGTTTGAAGGGAAACCAAAAGGACACCAAGCATTGCTATTGTGTTTTCTTCCGGAGGGGTGGGGTCCCCTAAGAAAAGACACACCCATATGGCAGTGTGACTTTTGTGAGGAAAGGTGGTCTTGAAATCTTTACCTCAATATGGAGGTGTGGCTGTGGAAAGATCCGGGTCCGTCACACAATGTGAGTATCGTGTTTTGACTTTAGAACCCCCCTCAATTGGTTTCAAAGCGAAACAAAAAGGAGCCAACGAGTTTTGGGGTCCATTCCCTCATTTTGAGACAAGCCCATTTCACTCTCAAAGGAGTGATTTCATCTTTGCGTTGCCGTCAAGCTTCACCAACCCAAAAGCGGCTCACTCCCAAAAACGGGAGCAACACACACTCACACTGGCTTGCACTATAAGCCAGCCAGCAACACGCTCCGGCGTGGTCGTCGTCCTGCATACATTGAGCTTGTAAATAAAAAGCAACGGTCCCTGTTTGATAGCCTTGTTTTTCACGACTCCCTATACTTCCCCCAAAAACATTCACACACAAAGGAAACTCTGATAAATTGGCCCAAAAGGTGATGTCAAATTCCAGCAAAATTGAGATCGCGGGGCTTGGCTTTTGCTCTGGAAAAGCAACGCAGTGAATCCTGCAAGTAGGTGGTTCATGGCGGAAAGGGGACTTTACGAGAAGTGAGCCAGCAACTTGCACGACGATGTAGAAGCCATGCTCCAGTTCGCGGTTCGAGCTTGATGGTGGCACTGAAATAATGAGGAGCTACACATGCTCTCATTCTGGGCTTCCACAATGGTCCGTTCAACAGCCTGATCGTCTTTGCTCTTTTGTGACCAGAGACAGGCTTGACATTCCCTGTGGTGGAGCACATGGAGCCGTTGGTTGCGTGGCATTCAAGCTACGTACAAGGCATTGATGCTAGGTCATGGTTAAGTCCAGGTGCATCATGGCGTTCAACGGCCTACTGAAGTAACAAACATGCAGTTCCTCAGTTGCTTTCTGCTCTCCTGCTAAAAGTTTTTCACTTTGAGTGGTTTAATGGAACCCCCATTTGTTGGCAAAAAGGTAAAGTCCTAACATCCCTTGGCAAAATGCAACAAAGGTTCCTAGAACCCTTGTGTTCTCCCCTGAGTGCTCTCAGCTAAGCTAGCAGAAACCAACATCAGAACCAGGTCCAATCGCGTCACGTTCCCAACCCGCAGTCTATTTTCATGATGAAGCAAATGGATAGGCACTCTTTTGGTTGACTTTAAAGGGGCTCTCCCAAAACAAAGTTGAAAGGCTGGGGAATTCCGTCCAACTTCTGGCGAGTTGCGGGAGAGTGACGTTCGGCACGTCGTAGGCCTGCGCTTTCGCAAACCAAAAGCCGGGTACTGTAGCCAGGAACCACCTAAAATCAATGAAAAAGGAAGATCCCCACTGAAAAACCGGTTTTGCCTTGGCGACAAGCAAGCTTGCTTTTTTCCATATGGTTGGGGGCCCCCGATGGTATGCTGGGTGTTCTATGCCCCATTGATGACAAGGGGCAAAACTGCGTTTATCCGTTATTACTGCAGAGTTTAGCATGATCGTAACACAGAATGATACCATTTTCGAAGTCCTCAAAAGAACCAATCTTTGACAAACCTCCTAATTTTCAGGGCTTGACATCATACCCAGGGCAGGAGATCGCCGAAGGGTGCCGAAGGGTGCTCTTCTCCATTCAACTTCGTCTGAAGCTCTGGACCGGGTCGACACGGCTCGGGAAGACTCAAGAAACCCCCATCCTCTAACTTGGACTCTTGGTGGAGAACTTGGACACGGCTCGTACTTTTTTCCTTGGGATTCGGTACAAACAAAATTCGCAGCGAGCTGGATTTGGCTGTGGCTCAAAAAACCGGTACCAAGATGGAACCCTGGGAAGTGGAAACATGGACCAAAACCTGCGTAACCCCCTGTTTAATTTTGAGCCACGCCCATTTGTCTCTATGGCCTTTCCCCTTTGCCTTTCGAAGTAGCCCCAAAGATGGGCCCATAGATTCCCGGTCGCTGTTGACTCTGCAAAAAGCGAGTAACTCCGTGGGTCCAACGGAACATCCACGTTTCCCAACAAGCTAAAGTCCAATGATCCAACCAAATAGCCGTAAGATATTGAACAGTGCGAACAACCGGACAAATTCTAAACATCCACCCTCACAGGTGACGCAAATTGGCAAACCCTAGTCCCAAAAGATGATGGCAAAAAAAAACAAGCGCCATATTCACAGCCCTAGATTGAACAGGGCCAAAGAAGAACCCAGGGGAACCCAGTTTTGGAGCTATCCCCAAAACTTGCCGGTGCTCAGGGAATGAGAAATGGACTCACCCCGACAAAATCCATCCAACTGGTGGTTTCCTTTAAGGGGACCCCCAAAATTCCATTCCATTTCTCATTCCCTACCAATCGCACCGATTTCAAGAAAAAACCCTTGAATTCTGCCTGATCGCCGAGCATGATCTGCACATTGGCCTCGCGCCACCAAAGACCAGAAAGAAATAGGGGGCCCAAGCACCCAAGCAACAAACGCTTTGAACCACGATTCAACAAATTCAACAAATGATATCCACCCACTTTTCGTTTTGGAAAGCAAATCAACATGGAGCTAGGCCTCTCCAAGGTGCGCGTCTTGAGGCAATCCTTTCTTCGGGGGGGTGGCTTTAAGCTAGGTTCTCCAGTAGAGAGGTTCGAATAAGGGTACTCTTCTTTCCGTTGTCTATTTTAGTAGGGGAACCCTTCCCAAAAAGGGTGAAAGGGGCACTACTGGAAGACCAAGTAAGGGAAGGGAAAAAGCAGGCATGAGGTTTCCGAGCTGAAAGAAAGCTTCGGCCTCACCTCGGCCAGTGAACTAAAAAGCACCGCAGCCCCTACCTCTTGTGGGGTCTTGAGACCGTCCACGGATCGGGACCTCTTTTTTTTTGGGGTTCGGCCAAAAGCAAGCGGCTGCCTGGAAAAGCCGTCCAGCCGAGCGGCGAGACGTAGAGATTTTGGCTGCCAAGGGGCCCGGAAACTGGGATCTGCCAAAGGAGGCCCAAACCGAAGTTGGCGCTTCTTTGCCGGAGAAAAAGAAAGAGCACAGCCAGAGAAGCCAACCAAAAAACAGCCAAGAGTGAAGCTAAAAGAAGATAAGAAGAGAAGCAGCTGTTTGCGTGGGCGGGGGGGCGGGGGGGGGGGGGGGGTTGGGCGGAGGGTCAACGTGCAGTCTGGGAGTTTGAACTTGGTCTAACAACAATTGGGGCTATCTTGATTTGGGTTGGTCTTCAACGGAAACTAGGAAAAGCCACCACTTCCCCCTACGAAAACGATACTTTTAGCCAACAAATCCGCAGTTTTCACCTTGGCGTCGTCCCCGTCCCACCTGTCGAGCTGTCACCTCCACCGTGTAGCTGGAGTTGCCCTCTGAAACCTCCTCGATCGCCTCGGTGGGACGCGACGTGCCCGTCCTTTTTGGCGGCGGTTCGCCTTTTTCCTGGGGGCTGCTTCTTAGCGAAACGGCGGTTTCAAAGCGGCGCCGCAGTCATTTTATTGTTTTTGTTTTTGTGTTTTTTGTTTTTTCTTGAGGGGTTTCCAGGTTTTGAGACAAACCCGAGGTTGGGAGGGTTTGCAGCCTGGTGAGAAACAGTCTCAGCCATCTCAGGTATACGGCGGTTCTTGGGATGGCATTTTTCGGTGGAAGAAGTGGGCAATTGGCCACCATGGCCCATTCCCAAACTTTGGCATAGTGCATACATAGTGAATCAGCTACTCAATAGGTACAGGTAGCACAAAGATGTTCTGGGAAAGTGGGCCACTATTAGGTGTCCTTGTGCTAACTGATTCTTACTCGCTATAGTCAACACCTGGTATTCAAGAGCCTACTAAAAGCCTTGCTGAAGAGCAAAAGGGGCCTGAAAACCTTTGCGAACCTATTTCTGGCAAGGGACTCTAGACTCTACTCTATTACCTGAATCCGCTCTGATTGTGCTTTGAAGCTCAATCAAAACCGGCCCCAACCACGAACTCAATAGCTCATGTTCATGAGCAGTCAGGCCTGTGCGATGATCGCGGAAAAGTCCTGCACGCACTGCACGGCCGGTGCCAAACCTTTCGGGGGGCTACCTCACTTGGCTTCGCCTCCAAACAGATAATTGTCCCCCTTTGCATCCAAAAAAACAAACCCAAATGGGGGGCAAAATCCATATCCTACCCCAGTGAACATCCGATTCAATCCAACCACTAAAATAGGTTCTAAAATGGGTGGTGCACCTACCCCAAAATGGTACCAAAACGGTTTTGACCCACAGCCAAATAGATTCCTCGGCAAAAGCACACCCAGTTGGTAGTTGATTTTTGGTCGTAAAGCAGCCAGCCTGTTCAAGTGACAGCCACGCATCTTGAACAATCGTACAGTCTCCCTTGAGGCCGTCGCGTGACTCCCGACCTGAAATTTATGGGGGAACGTCTCTCGCCCAAGTGGATTTGTGCAGGGTGTTGGGGGTGGCACACGCATCATTAAACCTTCACTCAAGGCCCGCTGCCTCAAAAAATACAAGCCACACTGCCATGGAGGTTCAGAAAGCCAAAGGGGAGTTAGGCTGGTTAAGGCCTAAAGTGTTGGCTTTGCTTGGTGTCGGCCTTTTCGGTTGAGGCTTTGTTCGTGTTGTTTTCCAAGCAACAGCTTGGGTTGTTGCCCGGCTCGGCAGCTCTGTGAAGGACCCAAGCTGAGAAATCGATGGAACTGGCGCGGGCGCAAGTCATTCTAAAGGTTCCTCTAGAAATCAACGAGGAATCCCACAAAAAGTTGGGTGCGTTGCAAAGGAGCCTCTCCAAGAAACAAACACAAAGCTGTTTGGGCTCCATCTCCAGGTATGTTTCAAAGGAAACTCCCCAAGAAACAAACTGGTTGTAGCTATGGGTTTCATCTCCGGGTTTTGGGACACAGCAAAAAAGGCGTCGGGGATGTTGCTGTGTCCTGGTCGGAAGGAGCGGAGACCGCCACCAGCAGCTCCGTTGCCGCCGTGACAGCTTCGCCTGGGGCTGAGTCGAGTGGAGCCTTTGAGAGGGGTCAAAATGAGTCACCAGGACACGGGAGGGTGGGGTAAATCCCACCTGAAAGGGGGTCCCTTTAACCGCAAGTGTTTGTCCTGGCTTCCAACAACCAAAGTTCCAGATTCGGGTTACCCAATTTTCGACCCAGAGCCAGGTATACGGTCCCCATTTTCGGTGCTCCATGGCTCAAGGAAGGTTTCGTTGCCGGCTCGGAGAAAGGCTAGCTTGCCAGGCCGGCTTGGAGAATCGGACTTGTCATAGGCATGTGGCTGTGGCTCAAAAAGCCGGTACCAAACTGGAACCCTGGTAAGTGGAAACATGCCCCTCCTGTTTAATTTTGAGCCACACCCATGTGTCAAATACGAGCCCAAAATTTGGGTTCTCCGGCTTCCACAAGCCCCAAAAGGGGGTGACCGAGCGTGGAAGTCCCTGAGTGACAATCCGAGCAATCGACCAGAGAGCTCCATCTTGGTCTTGGGCTTGGTTCTGCAAACCCAAGAAGTCTTTAGCTTAAGAAACACCCCGAGTCAGCTGCCCTCACATGATTCTTTTTTGTTGCCCCCTGTGGGCAGGGAAGCTCGCCCGAACATCCATGGCGGTGTCAAGGGATCCTTCCCATGTTTGCCCTTTAGGATTAAAATCTAAGAACTCCTTCCCCACTGCCAGACAAGAACCAAAGAACCAAGAATTACGCGAAGAACCCAGTGGTTTTGGTGGTGGTTTAAGGTAACACTTGGTGCAACAGAAGGGTCCCAGGAGCAAACAGGCCCCCGAGCTTTCTGTCTCCACGAGCAAGCGGATAACGTAGTCGACCTTGGCCACAAATTACATTGACCTTCCTTTGTTTTTCTCATGAACAGCCAACAAACAAGGATTCCCCACGTAGAGTTGGTTCCGCAGCACCAAACCTCAAACAACCAACACCCTAAATGAATGAAGGTAGTTGCACAATAGATTCTAAGTGTCCACACTTGGGGGACTGCCCCCGCTCCCGTGAATGCGTGACTTCGACTCACACCAAGGCTTCTGCCCGCACCACCAGCACTGCAAGCCGGCGCACCACGTACTGCACCTGTTCCACGGCGTTATCCTGAGCACGAGCAAAGCACGCTGGGGTTTTCGCGCGGTTCTGGCGGGCAAACGGCCCCGAAACTCTACCATCCATTGCATCTGTGTCAAGGGATCCTTCCCATGTTTGCCCTTTAGGATTCATTTAAGAACTCTCCTTCCGCACTGCCAAATGTGGTGGCTGGCTCTACTCAATTCAGCCGAGCAGCCAAAAAGTTTGAGAGCCGCCGCGCCCCCGTGCCGTTGGACGTGTTGGTGGTGTTGGTGAGCGACAGCAACTGGCGCAAGCAAACCATTGGCAATCGGAGTTCTCTCAGCCGAGGTCTTTCTTGGCCTTCGTTTCTTGTACGTCTTTCTTAGAAAACCCCGAAATGCCTCCAAAGTTTTGTGCAAATCGGCAACCCATCACTTTGGGGTCTAAAAACACGACACACTCAATGAGCGTTTGAAGCCCATGGGCAACCAAACAGCAATCGGTGGGTGGAAAAAACCAACGCCCCCCCCCCCCCAACATAAAAAGGGTCCCTCACAAAATGACCGCGTGGATGGTTCTAGAGGCAAACCGGAAACCGCCCGGGAGGGTAGGAACTGAAGAGAATCCGTTGGGCAAGTGGATGATCAGACCTAGGTGGATGATCAGACCTCAAAGGTGGATGATCAGACCTCTGTCTGGCCAAATGGGTCCGCAATGTTTCTGCATCGGGTTGCTGAGGGCAGACATGCCATCCATCCATTGGCTAGATCCTCCAGTAGAGAGGTTAGAATAAGGGTACCCTTTGGTCTGTAGTCTATTTCAGTAGGGGAACCCTCCCAAACGAAAAAGGGGTGAGAAAGGGCACTACTGGGGGACCTAGTTGGGGATTGGGAGGTGCTGGCATCTATAGACATTGCAAGTCACGCCTGCAGCAGGACAGTGACGGCGCTTGCGTTCACCTGGCAACGCGGACAGGAAGCAGCAAAACCAGGAAGCTCCTAGCTCGCCAGGTGCTGCTTGCTAAGTGTGGCTGCGCTTTGGCGATAGTCTCAGAAACAAAAACCGTAACTTGGCGATCTTGGATACTACGAACAGGTTGCTCATTCTGAATAGCTGCGCCAATTCTTGGACGGAATTGGACGGGATCAAAACCAATCAATAGGAACGCTAGCATTGATGAAAAATGAGACCCTGACTGGACGAGGAGGTCCAGACTGATGTATTTGCTTCACGTCCAGTCCCCGTTAAATCAGAAAACAAGACAGGCGTGTGAGTTCTGAATTCTGCACGGGCTCACTTCACATACTACCCTGCATGTGTTACATGGACACCCACCAATTTGTATGGGAAGTTCCGTCTCATTCCCTTTTCTTGGGTTGCACACTTGCAATCAATGTTTTGTTGGGTCCCCTTTCTCTGCCTTCGCTCCCTTTATCCCTTTCCATTATTTTTTTGACGGGGAGGGGCGCGGGTTGGGTGCTCCTCAGCCGGCTGGAGAACTCATCGGGACTTCCTTTGCCTGGGCCATCTGCGCAATGCCCTTGGCGATGCCAAGCTTGGCATTCTCATCCTGGACAAACTCCTGCGGTGTAAAACCAGGCTGCGGGAAATGGAATCCACTTGGGTATGGCTCCAAAAACCGGTACCAAAATGGAACCCCGGTAAGTGAAACATGGACCAAAATCTGCGTAACCCTAGCTCTTTAATTTTGAGCCACTGCCACTTCTGGGACAGAAAATCAAATGCCAAGAAATAATAGCCTTCTTCGAAAAAGTAGCATTTGTGCATTTCCGGCCAATCTTTAGCCTTCCAGCCTTTCTTCCACTGGCAGTTTGAGCAAGATGATTGCATTGTTTCTTGGCGGCTCGCGTCGCACAACTTTCCGCAATTCCGGCGAAGCTTCCCACAATTCCGGCGAAACTTTCCGAATAGGAAACTTGAGTCCATTCCGGCGACTTATTGTTCTCCTTGAGCCTCAGCGGTCCAATTCCGACTGTTCTGGCCAAGTCTGGCAAATTGTCATTTCGGCCGAAATTTGGAGCCTCCCTTGTATCACAGAAGTGGTTGGATCATCCCCGAGTGATCCCACAACCCTGGTGTAGAATCGCTTTGTGTCTCGTCCGGTGTCCAGGCCAACTCATCAACTCTGAAGGAAACGGACCTGGGTGCAAAGAGCACGAGATCTTCCCAGATCAACCTGGGCTTCGCAACCCTTGCTATGGGCTTGCAAAGAAACCAGGTCGGTCCTTTTCGTGCAGCTTCTAAAAATGAACATCTTTGGTCCAAAAAGCAACAAGTCAAAGTGGAGTATGCTCGCTGCACCGAGCGGCTTGCATTGATTTGGCCATCTGTGCCCGTCGGAACATCCCGGGTGTTGAAGCTGTGGCACTCAGCAGTCCTCTGGGTTGTCCACTTGCAAGTCCAGCTGGCCTGCGACTGCTGCCTCAGAGAGCTGGGTCTTTGGTGCGGATGTGACAAAGGGATTCTCCAACATTGCCTTGTAAATGGTGGTTTCCCCGTACTTTGGTGTTGAAAAAGCCACATGTTTCAAATGGTTGCAACAAATGTATCTTTTAAGGAGCCCTGCACAACTTTGGCGAAAAAAATCCCGTACCCCCAGTGAACATCCCAATCCCCACTAAAATAGGTTCTAAAAATGGGTGGTGCATTCACCGACCAAAATGGGATCCCAAGACGGATTTGACCACCACAGCCGTACAGCTTCGGCCCGAAATGTCGCGGAAAAAGAATTTGCGTGGATCCAATGGATCGAGGTCCCGGCGTAGACCGGGAGCTTCTCGCAGGCGGGCAAGGTTCCCGTGAGAGCTCCTGGCAAAACTTCCGGCGCCCCCAGCTTTTCTGCCGGTGAAGTGGGGGGGGAGAGTTCGTAGGGGCGCTGTCCCTATGTTGTTCCCTTGTTCGTTGGTTTGATTTGTCTTGCCATTCTTTCTCTCTAGTCTATGCATCACTATAAAACTTCGAGAATTGATTTTTTGGCTTCTGAAAAACTGCTGTTGGGTGAAGTGGGGGGGGGCAGAGCTCCTAGGGACGCTGTCCCTATGTTGTTCTTAAGGAAGCCATATATTAATCTCGAAAAACATTGGTTGTTTAAGGGGGGTTCTTATTGGAGCAAGAATGGGCTGTCTGCTTTTTTTTTTTTTTTTGGGGGGGGGGGGGGGAAACTAGCTATTTGAAAAGGGAGGGTGATGGATGTTCGACTCAAGGGATGGACAAAATCCATTTCGCGCCACCTAAGAAGCCCTGGAATGATGATTCCCCGGCGAGTAGCAACACACAATGGTCTCCTATGGTTTCCAAGTGGTGCAGGAATTCGTCCACCCACAGTATGTTGCTCCTTCTTGTTTACTGGGGGGTGGGGGGAGAACTATGTATTTGAAAAAGGGAGGGTGATGGGTGTTCGTCTCAAGGCGGAGTAGGGAAAGGCCACCCCGTGTTTCAACTTCTCAAAATGGCAAGGTATTCCTCCCTTGAAACATCAAAGGGCTCCACAATTGTGGGAAACACTCATGAGATTCTTGCAAAGGGTTGCTGCCCCTTTGCGCTTGTTTTTGACCAATTTGTTCTTCCAACGCCAAATCTCGTTTGACCTCCAAAAACGGCTTGCTTGAAAATACAAGCGGGTCCGCCTCCATCCGAACATGCTTTTTGCACACTCGTGAATAGCGTGAAGGGAACCCAAAGCAACCAGCTCAAAATGACTCTCACAGGCTTGAAGCTTTCCTAAGCTTCTGAGTTCGGGTTTGTTGGAAGGAGAGGGTCTTTTTTTTGCAGGACACCGACCAAATGGGGCACCAACTTTGAGGACCACCCCAAGTCTTGTAAATTGCATGCTCCATGCCATCCCAGTTTGACGCTCATTTCGCAGGCTTCGACCATGTTAAACATCATCATGTAGGATACTTTCTATAGGGCCACAGTCTCACTCTATACTATATGGTCTAATTCTTTCAACCAAGTTTGCCAAGTCTGTCCAAAACCGTCTGGCATTTTGCTCCTTGCCAGCACTGCCATTCCTGATCTACTCCTCCCCAGCCGCGTGCGCAGCCGATGGTGCAGTTGTCGCCTAAGGAAAGTCTCCGCGCAAACGCGCGAGTCTTGGGCCTGTCGGATACTGCTGGGGCTATGCTTTTGGAGACCCATTCGGGGGTTGTAAAGGAAAATCAAAGGAAGATCACTCATTCAACAGACTCTTCCTTTGGAGACAAGCCCGCATCTACCCTCCCGGGTATTCCATGGAAGCTCCCCAGACTCATTTTCCTCGAGCTGAGCCGAGAATATATGAGCAATGAGCCCTCTGGGCGCCCGGGCCCGCTGTAGTGGTGTTGTGGCAGTCGTGCACATATTGCTCGCCCAGCCGCAGCGCGCCGGACTAGTTTAGGGAGGCGGATGCGAGGAGACCCAACCCCCTTGGCCAGTTCGAAGCATGTGATAGGACATACCCCGGCTCCCACGGAACCAAGCAGAACCACTTCTCATGTGGAGCAAATTGGGAGTAGGACAACCAAAAGCTTAGGGCAAACATTCTGGCCAGGAAGCGGACACTGCGCAACGAGAAAGCACTAGAAGGGTGCTCCGAGCACAGAATGCTTCCAGCCACTATGCCTTGTTTTGTGGATGTGCAGGCCAACAAGTGAGTCAACTGGTCAATGACCACATAGACATCAACCACCAAGGCGATGTCTCGAAGCAATGAGCAACGGTGTGTGTGAAAACCTTCAGGGAGATCGAAGAAGTCAAGTCCTTTGGAGGAATCAAATTTGTTTTGAGAGCACCACGAGTTTGACAAAAAATTAAAGAGAGGCCTCTCCCATTTCTGGCGTTTCGCTTGTTCCCCGCAAGCATGCATGCTGAGTTCGGGTCCAACCAATTCACCTCCACTGGAAAGCCCAAAAAAATCGGCGCTTCTCAAACTGGGGCTCCCTTCTTGGATCGTGTTTTTTTCCCCCTTTGTTTTTTCCCCGGGGAAACCCACCTCGCCCCAAAGACGTCCAACCCTCCCCCCCCCAAAATGGGTGTCCCCAGTGACCCCGCAAAAAGTATCACAGTGGTTGATATCAACCTAAGTTGCTGGTTTATTGAACAGTGAAATAAGCCCAAAGACTGAATGCCCCCCCCCATAGACAGGGGTAGATTCCCTTGTATTGGACAAACGAACAAGCGGGGATACGGAGGGAGTGGGGATATGGGGGGATTCCCTTCGCGCCATTTCTCATATCAAACTTAGTCAAGGTGCATCAAACGGGGGAATCCTCCCGTATCCAACTGGTTCCCCCGGCATCCCTGCTAGTTGGTTTCCCTGATATCACATTGAAGTGGTTGGATATGGGTATGGCTCAAAATTAAAGAGCCAGGGCAAACCGCAGATTCTAGATTGTTGGTTCCATTTACCAAGGTGCCATTTTGGGAGCCAGTGCCATATACCCCGGATGGCATGCCCAACCCTCCGACCCGTGAAGGCGTGCCTGGGTGGTGCTGCCGAGGCCGGCCACCGCACTGCTGGGGGGCTCGCAGCTCTTCAACTCGCAGCTGCTGAGGTCCAAGGCATAAGCCTCAGCAAAAGCGGCTGGATGAGGTGAGGTGAGTGAGCTGGGTGGGTGGGGTGGGGTGAATGGGTTGAGGTGAGGTGAGGTGAGGTGGGTGAGGTGAGGAGAATGGGGTGGGTGAGGTGAGGTGGGATGACTTGGATGACTTGGTCGCTCTAACCCCCAAAATCGGCAGCCTTACACAAAAAACGACACCCACCTTGGTCCGGTTTGCAGGGGAAAAGGGGAAAACACTTGGTTGCTGGCGAGACCCCCCTGCAAAAAGTTTTAAACTTCTTGGGGGTTTAGTCCGGAAAACCCAACTTGATTTCTCCCAGAAAGTTAAAGTCTAAAGATCCAAACCAATAGCAGTCAGATGAGGTGAGGTGAGGTGAGGTAAGGTGAGGTGAGGTGAGGTGAGGTAAGGTGAGGTGAGGTGAGGTGGGTGAGGTGAGGTGGGTGAGGTGAGGTGGGTGCGGTGAGGTGGGTGAGGTCAGGTGGGTGCGGTGAGGTGGGTGCGGTGAGGTGAGGTGAGGTGGGTGAGGTGAGGTGGGTGCGGTGAGGTGGGTGAGGTAGGCGAGGTGAATGGGGTGGGTGGGTGAGGTGGGTGGGTGAGGTGGGTGAGGTGAGGTGGGTGGGTGAGGTGAGGTAGGTGAGGTGAGGTGGGTGGGTGAGGTGAGGTGGGTGAGGTGAATGGGGTGGGTGGGTGAGGTGGGTGAGGTGAGGTGAGGTGAGGTGAGGTGAGGTGAGGTGAGGTGAGGTGAGGTGAGGTGAGGTGAGGTGAGGTGAGGTGAGGTGAGGTGAGGTGAGGTGAGGTGAGGTGAATGGGGTGCGTGGGTGAGGTGAGGTGGGTGGGTATTTTCAGATCAAGTGGGACCTAGGGTTGCTCTTCATAAGGTGGGATAAATGTGTGCTGCTGAGAAATCAAGAGCTAGATTGGTTTGGTTCCTGGAAAAACCGTTAGGGAACAACCCTGCACACGACATGTGGAAGAAACAAAAGACAAACCCGTGATCAGGTGAGCCACAATAAAAGCTCGAAGTCCCAACCATAGGCTACAGCTCCCTCACAGCTCCCCAAGGTTGGGTCTGGGTAAGTGACAAACAAACAGTTGGTATCCGAAATGGGGCCCACGCTTCCTTTGTATCTTGCTCAAAACGAGTGTGCTCTTCTTTGGAGAGCACCCTTTTCAGGGAGGCTAAAACCAGAAAACAACAACACGAAACCACACCACTTTTGGAGGGTCCCCTAAACACACCCAAACACAGGAACCGCTGCGCCATGGAAAAGGACAGCTTGAGGAAGAGCAACAACCTCATTCCCTCGGCCGGAGCCGTGCCATGCCATGCATTGACAGCTATGACTCTTTCTGTGGATGGACAAAGTCCGCGCTTTGCGCCAGTTGGACTTTCCCCGTGGTTCATAGGGCTTCATCCATGTGGCATGGGTCAAAATCCAAATCGTACCCCCAGTGAACATCCGATTCAATCCAACCACTAAAAAAGGTTCTAAAATGGGTGGTGAATTCACCAACCAAACAAAATGGCATCAAAATGGTTTTGAACCACAGCCATGTGAACTCTCGCAAACTGGACTTTGTTTATTCCCACTTGCTTCCCCCGCGGACCTTCAAGGACAACCCTCCTAAACCCGCAAAACAAGGACGGAGGGGCCTATTCAAGCATTCTACGGGGTGCCCCAGGAAACACCCACATCTCGGCAAAGGGTAAACTTAATACAAAAACTGCCTGGATCGATCCAGTTGCGATCGCTTTTTTCCATCCACGAAATACCCTCCAAAAACCGATCGCAACAGTGACCGGAAAAAAAAGCGATCGCAACTTGGCTATCTAGGTGGTTGGTACCTGCAAGAGGAATGCTCAAAAGGACCTTCATGGTTGACCCCCCTATCGTTGAGGTAGTTACAGCTTGCTCAAAGAGCTTGCCCGCGCGATCTGAAACTAAGCCAGGCACCGCTGCTGTGCAGCTAATGGAGAACCTGAAAGCACCCGAGGCATCACAACATTTGGGTGTGGCCTGCTTTATCTTTTTTGCCTGGTTAGTGGAAAACAAAGGGACCCCAAAAAGCGAAAACAAAAACAAAGAGGGGAGCTAATTCTGGGCAAGAACATTTGGGTGTGTCCTGCTTTGAGGGTTCCTGGACCCTCGAACTATCCTGAAACAATGGGAGCTTGTTTCATCCTGAGGATGCAGGTACGTTTTGTTGGACATTTAAGGAAAGCAAAAGAGACATCCGCTTTCTAGGTCAACGGTTTGCCAGGTTCGCAATTGCAAGGTGTCAAGTTGGACGATTGCCACTTTCACTTTCTCGGTCATGCCCCCCCCCCCCCGCCAAGTCTCAAAATAGCGACCCTCTTTCAAAACACACATCACACACACACACACACTTTCGAGAGTCCAACTAATTTTGAGTTGGGCCCGCGTTTAAGCTAGTTTTTGCACATCCTGCAAGCAAAGGATTCAAGATCAAGGATCCGGAAAAGCCCGCAGCAAAAGAAATGAGTCACACTCAAAATCTCATATTGATATATGAGCATGGTCTACCCAAGATCATGTAAAGAACCAAAAGGCCGGATTCCTGCACCTTTTTAGCTGTGGGTCAAAACACAGAACGCCTGGTGAACATCAAAAAAAGGTGGTACATGGGTGTTCATCCGCCCCAAAATGCAGGCATAGGTTATGACCCATGGCCATTTATGGCTGGGACATGCTGCTTACTAGCCTTCACCAGGGATCCTTACATTATACACCTGAACATTGCCTTGTAAATGGTGGTTTACCTTTATTTTGGTGGAAAAGGCCATGTTTCAAATGGGCAAAATGATCTTTTGAGGAGCGCTGTTCACGTGCCCGGGTTTGGTGACTCCAGCTGGGTTGTGCCCGTGAGGGCCGGGCGATCCCAACAGGTTCTCATCGAGTTGGCTGCAGTTGCCACTGCCCTGCGCGCCAGTGGCATGAGTGGCATGGGTCAAGCCCCGTTTTATGCCAGCCTCCATTTGCGTTTAGCCCCTGCAAAAACATCCCAATCCAACCACTATAGACTAAAATGGAGGTGCACCTACCCAAAATGGTACCCAAACGGTTTTGACCCACAGTGTATTCAAGGACCCTCCATTGCTTCAAACCATACACCTATTGTGTACATACATCTAGAACTAAGTCTCTGCTTCAAATGGCTGTCTTTTTTTGAGGGTACCCCTTTCTGGATTGTTTTCAATGGACACCAAAGGGAAACCGAGGCCCATTTTGGAGGTTGCAACTCCTAGTTTGCGACACACCCATATTTACTTGCCGGCGCTCAGCAGGGAATAAGAGGATGAACCTAGGGATTCCCGTCAAGGAAACCATTTGGGATGATTCCAACTCATTCCCTGCATCTGTCACACCAGCAAGTGTCATCCGACCAAAAAAGTCCTGGGATCTCCCCAAGGTTCTCCAGCAGAGAGGAAAGAAGGGTACATTTGTCTGAACCCTCCCCCCAAAAAAAGAAACGGTAAAAGGGCACAGTCCTCCCAAGCTGTCTGACTTCATCTGTGCCTTGAAGCCGCTAGGAGCAGGAGATGTGGAGCCTCAGTCGCTTCGAAACGCCGGCTGGCGCGTGGGTCATTCGCTTCCTGTCTGAATTAAAAGAGGCAGGAAACCACAGGCTTTAGTCCGTGTTTTCCATTGACCCTTGTTTTGTCAGCGACTGCAGCTGTTGACTGTGTTGACTGTTTTGTTTCGCCTGTTTGGGTCAGGAAAAAAAAACCAACGGCTGCAACTTGGCTATCTGGGTGAGTGGATTTGATGGACTTCCCACAAGTACCTAGCCAAGCTGCTTTTTTTCCAAACACTTCCGCACAAAAACAGCACCGCGTGATCCAGGTATGAAGTCTAGGAACGCAGGAAGTGGATGCCCAAAGCAAACCACAGAGGAGGGTTTACCGGGGAATGCAACAGCTCACATCGAGCCAACTGTGTCGTTGATCCCGAAATGGAGTTTCGGTTTCCCGAAACAATACCGATACTGGTAATTCCTCTACTGAACTGCGCTGCTTCAAATGGAGGAGCAGCCCAAGTGAATCCCAAAGTTTATCTTGGTCTAGGATGAGTTTTTGCTGAATCCAGAAAAACCCAACCGGAAGCCCAAACTGGAGGATAGATCTTTCTGATGTGGCTGTTTTGGGAAAGCAAAAGGACCGCATGCTCATTTTTGGGCGCATGTCCCGTTTCTCCGTTTGTTCCGGTAGGCCCAAGAACGGATTCAGACCCACAAGACGGACGTGTCCAAACGAGTTGAGAGGGATCCCAGTGGCCTAAGAAATGCGAGCTACCTGTAACAGCCCAAAATGGGTACCGGGAGGATGCTGAGCTGGGGTCCCGTTGATATGGTTTTTAAGATAAACCACTAGGTCCCTCAGTAGTGCCCGTTTACCCCTTTTTGGGGAGGGTTCCACTACTAAAATAGACTGCAGAAGAAAAAAGGAGTACCCTTATTCTATCCTCTCTACTGAAACCGGGCCATTTGGGCCTTTCCGATCGAAAGGATCGAAGGCTCCGGCCAAGACTGGTGCCCGCGAGGCGTACCACCATGTCAAAGCCTGGCGCTGTGAGAGACATGCGTCTGTCTTCTTTTTTGGGGGTACTCCTTGTTTGGTGGTTCTAAAGGAAAACAAAAAGGACAACCTCTTTCTTTCCTTTTTGTTCCGGGGGGGGGGTCACCAAAAAAAGAAACGCCCAAAGTCATAGACCCGCGAACCCCAATATTTGGCCATGAAACCAAATAGGGAGTCATCCCCAAATTATGTCCACCAAAGGGTCCTCCAGTAAACATCACATCCCATGGGCGTCTTTTGGGTCCAAACAATTGCTATATAAGACCATTTTGGGAGTCCAGGTTTCAACCGGAAATACCTCATCCATGTTGCCAAAGCACACTCGAGTCCGCCAAGCACACCCCTCTCCACTCAAATTCGCAAAATAGGAACCTTCCAAGAACTAGCTTTCCTTCCCACAAGCCCGTGGCTTTTTTTTGGGGGGGAGGGGGGGTCCTGCGTCAATTTGAGTAGCACCCTCACCCCTCGCGCCGAGCCCGCTTTTTGCATCGACATAGGTTGCAACCTGCCAACTGCCAGGCTTTTGCGGCTCTTGTGAACTCTAGGCCCTGATCCTGCCAGCCTGTGAAGAGGAAAGGCGCGTCCGGCGAGCTGCTGGCAAAGCTTCTCTCTGGCAAAGCGCAGACAACTTGAAGCAAACAAATTCACAGAGTTGCCATCCTCTCGACCCGGCCGTTTTCAGCATCTGTCATGCTCGCCGCATGCACAGAATACACGCAGGCCAGTAGCTGCTACACCCGTTTCCATTCGGGGTTCTGGAAAAGGCACAACATGCGTCTGAGCAAACGGGTTCAAGCAAAAGGGCTCTTTTTCGCAACGCCTAAAACATCTTGACTTCGGCATCGGGCGTAGAAACCACTGCCTTACACCATTGGGCGCGCTGCTAGCGGGAGCGGTCAGCGCTGAATATGAGGTCCTGTCGAGAAAACGTAGACCCGCAAACCAGCATTAGATATGGAACAGTCCAAAACAACCACCATCAATTCCAATCAAGCAACTCACACGTTCAACAAAGCTCAACTTAACTCAAATCGGCCCCATTCAGCCCAACTCAATTCAACCCAACTCAACCCAACTCAGCCCAACTCAACTGTTTCCAATGATACGCAACTCGGTTCAGCTCAACGTGACTCAACGAATCCATCGGGCAAAAAACGAAACTGCCGGATTGGCCGCATGAGCCGGGCAAGGAGCCTCCATCGAACGCAAGCGTCCAAGCTGCACGCAACGAAAGGACCAGGGCTGTGGGAGAAATGACAACTTCTGTGATACAACCAAAAGGGGTTCCCAAAGACAACCCCTCTTTATGAGGGGGAGATTCCCTAAAGTATCACAGTGGTTGGATAAACCCCAAGTGATCCCACAACCCTGACTAGGACCGAAACGAGAAACTCGCAAGCCCAAAAAAGTCCAAAAGTTGAAGAGCACCCAGAGGCAGAGGCGAAGTCTCCGGTTCTTTGGAAATCTTCTGAAAGACTTATTTCCGGGGATGGGACAAAAGAACTCCAAACTTTTTGCTTGAAACTAAAATGGGTGCAAACCCATTGCCGCGACGAAAGTCCGACTCAAGAAGATCCCCAACTTTTGTCCTCAGCATGGCTCCAGAAAGCTGCCCTGGCTACTGGAGAGGCTGATCCTGGCACACAGGTCAGCTTTTTTTTTGGTGGTGGGGCTCCATTTGCTGGTCGAGTTTCCGGGGAAAAATAAAAACTTTTTTCCAGTAGTGCTCAAGCAAATGGAAAGCGGGGGGGTGAAGGGAGCGAGCTTTTTCCTAGGCCCAAATAGGCTCGTCCTGGGTGGTTTGGGGCAACTTCCAGGGAGGATTCGGGAGGGGGTTCCGGGCTGTTGCGGATACCAAGCTTTTCCTTTCATGGAATCTACGTTTTGCTTCTTCATGTTTTTGGTTTCCTTTGGGGTGTCCCTGGCATTTTGGGGAGGCGTTTCAAAGGGCAGCTCAAAATAGAGCTGCAGCCTTTTGGCTGGCGCAAAATGCTTCGTCTCAACTGGGGACAGCACCGGTTGCCTTTTTGATTCCCTTGTAAGAGCAAATCACAAGGTGGTTCCCCCAAAACCGCAGCAGTTGACTTTCTGGATACTTTAGTTTGGACCAAAAGGCACGGCAAATTCAATTCTGACATTTGCATGTAATATTCCATGCTCAAAACTCCTTGTTTGCCGCGGTCATGGATCCCTTAACGCTGGGGTTCGGGGGCCTTAAGAAGAAAGGACTTTAGGAAGTGTGTGTTTTCAGGCGCAACGTTTTTTGCTTCCAGGAAAGAGCTTCTGGGGCTGCATGAACATACATTTGTGGGCGGTGTTGGTAGGCACATGGCTTTGTAGTGCTGAAACGTACACTTTGCAAACCCTCGAGGAAGCATGCCAGAAATGGTGAAGCAAGGTCATTGCTCAAGGTCGTTGACTTTCATGACATTCTGGAAACATCGCCAATCGGCCCAGCAGCGGAAAATCGACCAGGGAATACCGTGAAATCAGCGTGAATGGCCGTCTCGGGCAGTGAAAGACCGTGACGTGCCGTGAACTATGGCAGGCTCAAACCACTCAAATTCGCTGTGTGCCGCCGAGATTTGACTGGGCTGTCCTCAGATCCCCTGCTAATAGTTTTACTTTTTGCGGGATAAATGGAAACTACCACTAAACCCCAAAAAGCTAAGAAGCTACGGGGATGGCTGGGAACCGTTAAGTTAAGAGGTTCTGAAGAAATGTTCCGGGAAGACCATGATTGTTCTACTGATGACAGAAATGTGAGGCTTTCATGTTGAGGCCTTCGCATCAATTCCTAAGGACCTGGCACAAGGCTTGTTCTTGAAGATGAGGGATGAATCTCACCCCAGACCCACCGAACCCCCCCAGCCAAACAAAGGACAGCGACTGTTTTCTTCTTTGTGAGTTTTCCCATTTTTTTCCGCGTTTTTTTTGCTCCGCCCAATTCTCCTACGTTGATGGCCATTCCGACGTTCTGACCATGGCGAAGCGGCTTCGTTGCCAAATGAGGGGCCCCAATAAGGTTGGCTTCCTCCCCAAAGATGAAATAACCATCAGGCGACCAATATATAGATACAAATATATATTGGTTCATGGGGGAGGGTGACCATATATACATAGATATATATATATACATACATATGTGTATAGATATACATATATATATATATATGAACGCTCATACGTCTGTGAAAGAAACCGTCATCCTAGGTGACGCCGCAAATCACCCTAACGGCGTCGCTACAATATGCCCAGATTTTCTTCCTTCGCCAGATTGTGCGAGCGACCATACTACTTTGCCCAGCTTTATCCGATCAATACTGACGACCTCCCTTTTCTTGGACTGTTCAAAATGAAGCTTAGACCTGTCTAAAATCTATAATATATATTGGGCAAAAACAACAAACATTTACAGGGGCCAAATCCTTTCGTAACTCCAAAGTGGGTTTGTCTTACAATGGGGACCTCCCAAATTTGCGGCTGCCATTCCAGACACACCCAAATATTGAGGATTGCCCAACCGAACAGCCCAGAGTTTACCGTTCAAACCGCGACTGCCTGAACAAGATCCTTGGGGCTTCTTTTGTGACACCAAAATGGGAGTCCCATCCCCTCTACTATATCGCAACTGGGCTGTCCTCAGATCTCCTCTTAAAAGTTTAATTAGTGGGTTCACTCCGGAAACTACCGGACCCAACCAACACAAATCATGCTCAAGCTCAAAAGCCACGGAACCTGACAGCCGGGGTTCCCTTGGCTTAAATGGCTCCTCCAACGCTTGGCCTAGCTCCTCCAGTAGAGAGGTCAGATTAAGGGTACCAACTTTTTCCTGTAGTCTACTTTAGTAGGGGAACCCTCCCAACCAAAAAGGGGTGAGAAAGGGCACTACTAAGGGACCTAGTTGCTTTTCGAGCTTCACCTTGGGAACAACCTATCATTGGCCCTGCGAAAACCGCATCCCGCACGACGGCCAAATGCCAACGCCGGCGAGGCCAGCCCAGAGCGCCGTCCAGCTTCGCCTTGGCTTTCACCCGCACCTCCGCTTCGCCCTGAGAGCATCGAGAGCCGAGCGCCGAGCCGATGCGCGGGGAAGGAAGTCGTGGGCGCTTCGCAGCGCCCCAAAGGGAGCGGTACCGTGGGCACACAAAAGAAACCAACGGGTTCAAGCCACCACTTCAACATTTGGTTGGGTTCATATATGACCACCGTTCTTTGCCTCAGCATTGCCACAATCCAAAAAATTGGTCCTTGCCATTGTTTTGAGGGGACTCGATTGAACCCAAACCCAACAAGATCCGAACAGATAGAAGTCCAGACATTGGGAAAGCGAGGGGTCGAAGGACAGGAGTCTCAACTGTTCCCAACTTTACTTTATCATCAAAGGACACGGGGTTCATCTAAAACAACCGATGGGAATTTTGTGGGTCTGGCATCTCTACACCCCCGCAGTCATGATATTTCCCACTGGCAGTTCCCACAGATCCCTCCAAAGCCCACCCGTGATTGACGCATTCCCGTGATTGACGCTTGGTTACCCAACATCAACCCCTTTACTTGGTTGACGTTGGAAGGGGAGCAACAATTCAAATTTTAGCAGTTCAGTGGTTGGATTTCAACCACTCAACCACAAGCAAAAATGCTTCCAATGCTTCCCAACAACAACCATGTTTATCTCCCTTCTGATGTCTCTTACCCCGGGAACTCCTGGGATAAACCGTCGGCTCTTCGGATCCTTTCGGCTCGAGAAAGTCTCGGGATGGGAGCCATGAGGATTCTCCACGTCTCGCGACTGGCCCCAACAAAAATCGGCCAGAGGTCGACGAAATCCATCGAACCCCAAAATGGCGAACCTTTGGTCTCCCCTTGAAAAAGCCCAGGGTGCTCTCTATGGCCATGCTTTTGTCGACCCAAAGAGTGGCACTTTTCAAACACTTTGAGTGAAAAATATCGTATAGCAGTTGGGTTTTCAAAAGGACCCAGTTCCCAGTTCAGCGACGATTCAAAAGGGAAGCGCTTGGGGGTTGACAATGTCTTAGCATAGTTGGGAAGCCGCCAAGCTTTGGAAGCCTGGATCGCCAGTTGCTTTTTTAGCTTTTTTTTGTTCCCATCCACGAAATACCATCCAAAAACCACCAGTGACTGAAAAAGGCGATCGCGACTTGGCTATCTAGGGAGGTTCCTTTCTGGAACACCTGAAGCGATCGCAACTTGGCTATCAAGGAGGGATTTCGAGTGCCACGACACAGCTGGGACAACCCATCAGGCTGGTCTTCCGTCCTTCTTCGGGAACTCCAGCACCTCAATGACCTCACCTTGCCGCTTCAAAAAGCGCGGCACGAGGCTCGGGTTTTCCACCCGCGAGGAGAATCGACTCTGCCCGGCTGGATGTCTGGGTGTGGATACCAAAGTTGCCTCTGTCTCTCTCACTCTCTCTGTGTCTCTCTCTCTCTCTCTCCATTTTCTCCAGACACTTTGTCCTAACAGTCACGATGAATCAACCGGCGATACCTATCCTACCCTACATGAATCTTAGGGCACCCTTTGGTCACTTAGCTGACTTATGTGGAACCACATTCAGAGGTTCCCTAGTGAAACTCATTGTCACATGTTGAAAACAAAACAACCTCCAATACGAGAGAAACCTTCACTATCGACTTCACACGCGCCCTGGAACGTGACGTCGCCACAATTTGCCCAGTCTGGACTTTGTGGAGAGCAAGCGGAACACATGGCATCAAACGTGGGCCAGGTGGCTGTAACATATCTTAAAGACGTTGATTTTTTTTGAGCAGTTTCAAGGGTTGCGCCAACCTTTGTATTCATAAGGGGCAAGGGAGATGGCTCAAACCCATTTGGGTCTGTCTTTTTTACGGGACCCCCCCCGAAAACGGGTGGTATCCTTTTGGGTTCCCTTTGATAAACCACCAAGAAAAGGTAGCTTCAAAAAAAGACGAGCCACCCAGTTCGGTGTCAACACCATTGGCTTTGCCCCGGCCTTTGGCGATGCGTCGAATCGTCTGGCTCTCCTCTGCATCTGCGCCATCGGTGAGGGTCGTCTCCTGCAAGGAAAAGGAGCAAATCTTTTTTGGGGGGACCCCCCAAAGTGCTGGTTGCCATAGGTGGCCTTTTGGAAAAATAGATGGATTTTCCTGGTAAACCCAGGGCCATCTATTTTTAACCAGGCTCACCTAAAAAGGACAATTGCTGGTTGCCCTTTTGGTGACCCCTCAAAAAACCCAAAAGTCGGGAGTCCCGAAAAAGACACGCCCAAATAGATACTTTAGATGGTCTTTGAAGGGAATTCAACAAACCGACTGCTTCTAGGGCCTTTTCGGTTTTTGCATTTTTAGTTTTAACATAAACTCTGTTGGAACCTTTATGTTGAATTTGCTTCACATCTAGGCCAACTCATACTCGTGGGTAACATCTCTATTTCAAGCAGTTTGCATCTTCATGTATTTAGGGTAAGTGTTGAGGACAAGAATTAAAGGGAAAGACAGTGTAACAAAAACGCCCGAGAGCCGTTTTCAGGGAAGCGACCCCAGGACCCTTCGTTCCATGGAGCATAATTTTGGGTCTCAAAATTAAGGACCCCTCCGCTAGTTCTTCCCCTTTTGAATTCGCCTGAAAACCCTCCAAAAACGGCGCTATTTTGAGAAACACCCCAACCCGCCCCGGAATTATTCTTGTAAAATTCCCCCCATGCGGGAGCCACCGCTCCTCTGTTCTCGTGGAAAACGAACAGCTTCCCAAGCTAGGTCCTTCAGTAGAGAGAATAGAATAAGGGTACCCTTTTTCTGTAGTCTATTTTAGTAGGGGAACCCTCCCCGCAAAAAAGAAACGGTAAAAGGGCACCTAGCTGGGGGACCTAGTAAGAGGGGCGCTAAAAAAAACGACACGGAATCGGTTTCAAACATTGCCCATCCCGCTCGCCCTGCTGCGCCGCGTTCCGCGCGCGCCTTGACGCAGGTGTAGAAGTTGCCCCCCGGCTCCAGGAAGGTGGTGCCCTGGTTGCCTCGGCGTCCGCTGCGCTTGTCTCCTCTGAACCCGAAAAGACAATATTGTGTATGCATGTATTTAAAATAATAAACAATAAAAAAGAAAAAGAAAAAGAAGGCAGGTGCTCAGTAGGGAATGAACGTTTCCCTTACAGGAAACCACCAGTTGGATGGCCAAAAAAGGGTCGATCGTTCCATTTCTCATTCCCTGAGCACCGGCTTCCCCGGCGAAACCAGTCCTGGGCTCGCAAAAGGTGATGTTTTTTTTGCTTTGGTGCCCTTCAGTTTGTCTTTTTTCCCCAAACAGTTTACTGTGAGGGGTTCTAAATTCATTTAAGGTGGCTCGCCTGTTGCCAAGCCCTAGCCTGGATGCCTGGCACAGCTCTCTGGGTGGACGGGTTCATTTGTCTCCCTGTGTCTCCCTTCATTTGTCTCCCGTTGTCTCCCCGCCTGGATGCCTGGCACGGCTCTCTGGGTGGACGCGTTCGTTTGTCTCCCTGGGTTCACTTGTCTCCCTTTGTCTCCCTTCATTTGTCTCCCGTTGTCTCCCAGCCTGGATGATCCAGTCTGGGTGGACGGGTTCATTTGTCTCCCTTTGTCATTTGTCTCCCGTTGTCTCCCAGCCTGGATGCCTGGCACGGCTCTCTGGGTGGACGGGTTCATTTGTCTCCCTTTGTCTCCCTTCATTTGTCTCCCAGCCTGGATGCCTGGCGCGGCTCGGGTTCATTTGTCTCCCTTTGTCTCCCTTCATTTGTCTCCCGTTGTCTCCCAGCCTGGATGCCTGGGTGGACAGATTCACTTGTCTCCCTTTGTCTCCCTTCATTTGTCGCCCGTTGTCTCCCAGCCTGGATCTGGCACGGCTCTCTGGGTGGACGGGTTCATGTGTCTCCCTTTGTCCCCTTCATTTGTCTCCCGTTCTCTCCCAGCCTGGATGCCTGGCACGGCTCTCTGGGTGGACGGGTTCATTTGTCTCCCTTTGTCTCCCTTGATTTCTCCCGTTGTCTCCCAGCCTGGATGCCTGGCACGGCTCTCTGGGTGGACGGGTTCATTTGTCTCCCTTTGTCTCCCTTCATTTGTCTCCCGTTGTCTCCCAGCCTGGATGCCTGGCGCGGCTCTCTGGGTGGACGGGTTCATTTGTCTACCTTTGTCTCCCAGAATGCAGGATGTCTGGCACCCCTTTGTTTCCCTTCATTTGTCTCCCGTTGTCTCCCAGCCTGGATGCCTGGCACTGTTTTTCCCCAAACAGTTTACTGTGAGGGGTTCTAAATTCATTTAAGGTGGCTCGCCTGTTGCCAAGCCCTAGCCTGGATGCCTGGCACAGCTCTCTGGGTGGACGGGTTCATTTGTCTCCCTGTGTCTCCCTTCATTTGTCTCCCGTTGTCTCCCCGCCTGGATGCCTGGCACGGCTCTCTGGGTGGACGGGTTCATTTGTCTCCCTTTGTCTCCCTTCATTTGTCTCCCAGCCTGGATGCCTGGCGCGGCTCGGGTTCATTTGTCTCCCTTTGTCTCCCTTCATTTGTCTCCCGTTGTCTCCCAGCCTGGATGCCTGGGTGGACAGATTCACTTGTCTCCCTTTGTCTCCCTTCATTTGTCGCCCGTTGTCTCCCAGCCTGGATCTGGCACGGCTCTCTGGGTGGACGGGTTCATGTGTCTCCCTTTGTCCCCTTCATTTGTCTCCCGTTCTCTCCCAGCCTGGATGCCTGGCACGGCTCTCTGGGTGGACGGGTTCATTTGTCTCCCTTTGTCTCCCTTGATTTCTCCCGTTGTCTCCCAGCCTGGATGCCTGGCACGGCTCTCTGGGTGGACGGGTTCATTTGTCTCCCTTTGTCTCCCTTCATTTGTCTCCCATTGTCTCCCAGCCTGGATGCCTGGCGCGGCTCTCTGGGTGGACGGGTTCATTTGTCTACCTTTGTCTCCCAGGATGTCTGGCACCCCTTTGTTTCCCTTCATTTGTCTCCCGTTGTCTCCCAGCCTGGATGCCTGGCACTGTTTTTTTGGTGGACAGATTCACTTTTCTCCCTTTGTCTCCCTTCATTTGGCTCCTGTTGTCTCCCAGCCTGGATGTCTGTCACGGCTCTCCAGGCGGACGGATTCACTTGTCTCCCTTGGTTCCCCTTCATTTGTCTCCCATCTCTGTGGGTGGACGGATTCATTTGTTTCCCTTTGTCTCCCTTTATTTGTCTCCCGTTGTCTCCCAGCCTGGATGCCTGGCACGGCTCTCTGGGTGGACGGATTCATTTGTCTCCCGTTGTCTCCCAGCCTGGATGTGTGGCACTCACGCTCCGCGGTTTCCTTCACTTCCCGCGGTTCTGTCCTTTTGGCGGGGTCTGGTTTGCCTTCGGCTTTGGCCCTGGCTTCGGTCATTCCTTGTCTTGTGGATGTTGGGGACAGGGTCCTCCTCTGTCTGCCCTTCATCTGGACTTCGATTTCGCTTGGGCTCGTGGTGGGTCGTCTTCCTTGTCTATCGTTGGCTACACCCTGTCTGTTCGTTCAGTGCCTCGTTATCAGTTGCGGTCCCGAGCTGACGATAGCGGTGCGCTGCGGTGCTTCAGCTACGAGAAGGCTCTGTTAACCCCCCGGTGAAACAAACGTGAATCACGCTGGAGTTAAATCCTCTATCGATTCTTCGAGGATGTTCAACGAACCTTACGCTGAGATACCCAGTGGTGCTCTTGGCACCTGGGGTTGTCCCGGCTCTCCCGGCGGACGGGTTCATTTGTCTCCCTCTCCCTCCATTTGCCTGACGGATTCATTTGTCTCCCTTTGTCTCCCTTTATTTGGCCCCGGTTGTCTCCCAGCCTGGACGCCTGTCACGGCTCTCTGGGGTGGAGGGGTTCATTTGTCTCCCTTTGTCTCCCTTCATTTGTCTCCCGTTGTCTCCCAGCCTGGATGCCTGGCACGGCTCTCTGGGTGGACGGGTTCATTTGTCTCCCTTTGTCTCCCTTCATTTGGCTCCCCTTGTCTCCCAGCCTGGATGTCTGGGTGGACGGGTTCATTTGTCTCCCTTTGTCTCCCTTCATTTGTCTGGCACGGCTCTCTGGGCTTTGTTTCCCTTCATTTGTCTCCCGTTGTCTCCCAGCCTGGATGTCTGGCACGGCTCTCCAGGCGGACAGATTCACTTGTCTCCCTTTGTCTCCCTTCATTTGTCTCCCGTTGTCTCCCAGCCTGGATGCCTGGCACGGCTCTTTGGGTGGACAGTTTCACTTGTCTCCCTTTGTCTCCCTTCATTTGGCTCCCCTTGTCTCCCAGCCTGGATGTCTGTCACGGCTCTCCAGGCGGACGGATTCACTTGTCTCCCTTGGTTCCCCTTCATTTATCTCCCATCTCGTGGGTGGACGGATTGATTTGTCTCCCTTTGTCTCCCTTTATTTGTCTCCCGTTGTCTCCCAGCCTGGATGCCTCTCTGGGTGGACGGATTCATTTGTCTCCCTTTGTCTCCCTTTGTTTGTCTCCCGTTGTCTCCCAGCCTGGATGCCCCTCTGGGTGGACGGATTCATTTGTCTCCCGTTGTCTCCCAGCCTGGATGTGTGGCACTCACGCTCCGCGGTTTCCTTCACTTCCCGCGGTTCTGTCCTTTTGGCGGGGTCTGGTTTGCCTTCGGCTTCGGCCCTGGCTTCGGTCATTCCTTGTCTTGTGGATGTTGGGGACAGGGTCCTCTGTCTGCCCTTCATCTGGACTTCGATTTTGCTTGGGCTCGTGGTGGGTCGTCTTCCTTGTCTATCGTTGGCTACACCCTGTCTGTTCGTTCAGTGCCTCGTTATCAGTTGCGGCCTCTCTCTGTCCTTGCTCGCATTTGGAGTCCCGAGCTGACGAGAGCGGTGCGCTGCGGTGCACGGCTTCAGCTACGAGAAGGCTCTGTTAACCCCCCGGTGAAACAAACGTGAATCACGCTGGAGTTAAATCGTCTATCGATTCTTTGATGATGTTCAACGAACCTACGCCGAGATACCCAGTGGTGCTCTTGGCACCTGGGGTTGTCCCGGCTCTCCCGGCGGACGGGTTCCTCTCCCTTCATTTGCCTGACAGATTCATTTGTCTCCCTTTGTCTCCCTTTATTTGGCCCCGGTTGTCTCCCAGCCTGGATGCCTGTCACGGCTCTCTGGGTGGACGGATTCGTTTGTCTCCCAGCTTGGATGTCTGGCACGGCTCTCCGGGCGGACGGGTTCATTTGTCTCCCTTTGTCTCCTTCTTGTTGTCCCTCAGCCTGGATGCCTGGCACGGCTCCCTGGTCATTCGCGGTGTATTCCGCGGGCACGCATGTGTGTTTGAGGCTCAGAAACGTGTGTTTGAGCGCGCGCGTGCGCTTGATCAAGCCACAGGCAGCATGCTGCGGATGCACGTACGAGTGCTTCAAGTAAATGATTGTGTGTTTTGGTGTGTTCCAGCTGACCACATCGGCGCGTTCCAAGTGAACACGCACTTTTTGCATGTGACCACATGAGTGTGTTCCACGTCAGCACATGTTTGTGTTCCAGGTGAAAGCATGCGATTGTTCTGATAAAACACATATGCGATCCGGTCAAAATTCCTAGTAAGGGGGTTTAGTCTACAGAGGCCACCGTCGCAGTCACTTTGTGCAGTTTTAAATGGAGGGCCATTTTTTTTAAGAATTTTTCGTTTTTTTTAGGAATTATTTTTGTTTTTCAGGGTCGGTGGCTTTTCGGCTTTTTGGCTTTTGTGGCTTTTACGTGGGTTTTTGTGGCTTTCGTGGCTTTTCATTTCGCATCATCTGCATTCACAGTTCCTCTCTTTTCGCATCCTCTGCATTGCCAGTTCCGCTGCGGCAGGTGGCTTTTTGGCTTTTTGGCTTTTTGGCTTTTTGGCTTTTGGCGGCTTTCTGGCTTTGGCTTTTCGCATCCTGATGCTTTTCCAGTTGGCTTCCTGCATCCTCAGCATCGCCAGTTCCTCTCTGGGCCCCCGCCACCCCCCTTTCGATTAAAATGCACGCCTATTTGAATCATCACTTTTTCGATCATCATGCGACAGCTACTTTTTAGATTCTTTGCCCCTAATTTTTCGATCATCATGGGGGGGGCTGCCGCCCCCCCCAACCCCCCCGCTATTTTTTAGACTTTTTGCCCCTGATTGAATCATCACTTTTTCGATCATCATGGGGGGGGCTGCCGCCACGTTTTAGGTGTTTTACAGGGATTAGTTTGCCCGTATTTGAATCCTCACTTTTACCATGAGATGCGGGAAGCCAATTTGCTGGTGATGCTGGGGATGTTGGCTGGACATGCGGGGGATGTTGAAAACGATGCTGATGATGTTGACGGACTAGCGTAAAATACGTACATTTCGCGAGAAAATGCTGTAAATTACAGCATTTTAGTAGCCAGGACGGAAAACAAAAAAAATCCCAAAATAAAACAAAAAAAACCCAAATTAAATCTCGACCCGTTTTTCATTCACACAAAGCGGAGTCAAGCGGAGTCCTGCAAATACCAATGGATTGCCCGCTCCCCACTGGAGGCGCTAGGATGGCGCTTGGTTTGCGCTAGGGTCTTCGGTGATCTTGGTTTCCAAGAGTTGGCGCGTGGGTTGCCGCGATGGGCTTTGCGTGGCTTTCAAGGGTGTAATGTTGCAGTTCTTACTTAGTACTTGAAGCCAGCCCGCACGTTTACCTTCATCTTACGTGGCCTTAATTTGTCAAATCCACACAGATGGTCGCCGTGACTCCAAAAAATACGGCGAACCCGCGCTAGCCGCGCGCTAGCAAGGCGCTAGCGCAGTGGTCAGCTGTGAACGGTTCCCAGTTACGCTTCAATCCAAATTTGCTTCCGCTCTCCTCGCATGCAATTATCATGGAGTGCGATTTGCTGGACAAAGGGGAGAAACAACGGCTGAGGCAAGACGGCAGGGATGCCTTGTACCGAGCATACGGAAGAATTGGGTTGCGTATTTCCCTGCGAAAGCAAATGCTTTACTGAATCGATACGAAGAGTTGCCACAATACGATCAAAGCACTTTAGCAATCGATACGAAAGACACTGTGCAGCTAAGCGAGAAAGAAGCGCAATGCGCCGGAAAGCTTTTGCTAAGCTGAAGCCTGTAACTGCTGGAGACGCATCCGATACTGATAGTACTAGCAGTAGTAGCAGCAGCAGCAGCAGCAGCTCGCGCGCTAGCAATGTGTTGCAAAAAAGCTAGATTGATCGTACACGAACACTATTTTCCTACTTGGAACACGCATATAAAACACAAGCGTTGTTCAAGGCAGAGCCCCATGGAATAGCGCCTCACAGCCGGCTTCGGGAACTTGATTTATGTGTCGCCCAGGCGTGCAGGAAATGTAAATTCCATGTGAACACATTTTTGTTGTCCAGGTGAACGCATGTGTGTTGCACATTTGTGTTGCACATGTTTCTCCACATGTGCACACACGTGTGTTCCATGTGTACACATATGTGTGTTACAAGTCAACACAGAAGTTTGTTCTGGTTAAACATGCTTGTGTGATCCAGGTCTGCACCAGTGTCGCACGTGAACACAAATGCCTGTTCCAAGTGAGCGCATATATGGGTTCCAGGTGAACACATATGTGTGTTGCAGGTGAACAGAAATGTGCTTTCCAGACATACACACATATGTGTTCCAGGTGTACGCATGTGTGTGTGTGCGTGTTCCGGGCGCGCATATATATATATATATATATGTGTGTGTGTGTGTGTCGCGTGTGCACATATGTGTGTTCCACATGTACACATATGTGCGTTCACGTGCGCACATATGCGTGTTGCACGTGTACACATATGTGTGTTCACGTGTACACACATGTGTGTTCTTATCAGACACGTGTATGTGTTCCAGGAGAACACATGTTTGTTATCAGATGAACACGTGCGTGTGTGTCTGCTCCGCGTGCACTTTTTTTGTATGTGTGTTCACGTGCACACATTGTGTGTTCACGCGTGCGCACATGTGCGTTCCAACTGGACACGTGTTTGTGTTCCAGGAGGACACATGTTTGTTATCAGATGAACACGTGTGTGTGTGTGTGTCTGCTCCGCATGCGCATGTGTGTGTGTTCATTTGCACACATATGTGTGTTCCACGTGCACACATTTGTGTGTTCACGTGTCCACACATGTGTGTTCCAATTGGACACGTGTTTGTGTTTCAGGTGAATACATGTTTGTTTTCAGATGAACGCACGTGTGTGTGTGTGTCCGGGTGCGCATATATATGTGTGTGTTCACGTGTACACATATGTGTGTTCACGTGTACACACGTCTGTGTTCCAATTAGACACACGGTTGTGTTCCAGGAGAACACGTGTTTGTTATCAGATGAACACTCGTGTGTGTCTGTGTTTTCCGCGCGCGCATAAATGTGTGTGTGTTCACATGTGCAGTACACATGTGTGTGTTCCACGTGTGCTGTGTTCACGTGTACACATATGTGTGTTCACGTGTACACACGTCTGTGTTCCAATTAGACACACGGTTGTGTTCCAGGAGAACACGTGTTTGTTATCAGATGAACACTCGTGTGTGTCTGTGTTTTCCGCGCGCGCATAAATGTGTGTGTTCACATGTGCAGTACACATGTGTGTGTTGCACGTGTGCACATGTGTGTGTTCACGTGTGCGCATTTGCGTCTCCCACGTGTACACATATGTGTGTTCACGTGTACACACATGTGTGTTCCAATGGACACGTGTTTGTGTTCCAGGTGAACACATGTTTGTTTTCAGATGAACACTCGTGTGTGTGTGTTCCGGGTGCGCGTATATATGTGTGTGTTCACGTGTACACATATGTGTGTTCACGTGTACACACGTCTGTGTTCCAATTAGACACACGGTTGTGTTCCAGGAGAACACATGTTTGTTATCAGATGAACACGTGCGTGTGTGTCTGCTCCGCGTGCACTTTTTTGTATGTGTGTTCACGGCACACATTGTGTGTTCGCGCGTGCACACATGTGCGTTCCAACTGGACACGTGTTTGTGTTCCAGGAGGACACATGTTTGTTATCAGATGAACGCGTGTGTGTGTGTGTGTCTGCTCCGCGTGCGCATGTATGTGTGTTCATTTGCACACATATGTGTGTTCCACATGTACACATTTGTGAGTTCATGTGTCCACACATGTTTGTTCCAATTGGACACGTGTTTGTGTTTCAGGTGAATACATGTTTGTTTTCAGATGAACGCACGTGTGTGTGTGTGTCCGGGTGCGCATATATATATATATATAAATATGTGTGTGTTCACGTGTACACATATGTGTGTTCACGTGTACACACGGTTGTGTTCCAATTAGACACACGGTTGTGTTCCAGGAGACCACGTGTTTGTTATCAGATGAACACTCGTGTGTGTCTGTGTTTTCCGCGCGCGCATAAATGTGTGTGTTCACATGTGCAGTACACATGTGTGTGTTCCACGTGTGCACATGTGTGTGTGTTCACGTGTGCGCATTTGCGTCTCCCACGTGTACACATATGTGTGTTCACGTGTACACACATGCGTGTTCCAATTGGACACGTGTTTGTGTTCCAGGAGAACACATGGTTGTTATCAGATGAGCACACGGGTGTGTGTTCCGGGTGCACATATATGTGAGTGTTCACGTGTGCACATATGCGTGTTCACGTGTGCACATATGTGTGTTCCACGTGTACGCACATGTGTGTTCCAATTGGACACGTGTTTGTGTTCCAGGTGAACAGATGTGTGTTTCACGTGAACACATTAGTATGTGCTAGATGAACTTTTTTTGGCATCTGACGACATATTTGCTCTCCAGGTGTGCACATGTATGCGCTCCAGAAAACGCATGATTGTTTTCGAGGTGCGCGCATGTGTGTGCGATTTAGGTGAGCATTTATGTTTGCTCACGTGTGCGCATATGTGTGTTCCACATGTACACACATGTGTGCTTTAATCGCACACGCGGTGTTCCAGGTGGACACATGTTTGTGTTCCAGTGGTATACATATGTGTGTCCCACGCGTACACACATGTGTGCTTTAATTGCGCGTCTTTGTGTTCCAGGTGAACGCATGTGTGTTCCACGTGTACACACATGTGTGTCTGAATTGGACACGCGTTTCATTGTGTTCCAAGTGAACACACATGTGTGTTCCACGTGAACGCATTAGCGTGTCGTAAGTGAACACATATGTGCGTTCCACGTTTGCACATGTGTGTGTGTGCTTTCCAAGAAGCACATGTTTGTTTTCCAGCTCAACACATTTATGCGTGTGCCGCAGGTGAATGTATACTGTTTCAGTCGTATACGTATGTGTGTTCCACGTGTACACACATGTGTGTCTGAATTGGACATGTGTGTTTGAACTGCCCATGTGACTGCGTGCTTGCGCGGCCACACTTGCGTTCACGCGCGCGCGCTCGCCCGCCATCGCGCGCGCTTGCCCAACCTCAGTTCTGGCGCGGTGCTGAAGCGCGAAGCATGCCAGCAACACACGTGCAGCAACGCAACGCGCGCCAGGTTCACGACTGCATCATTTTGATTCATCCGTGTTGAAGCGCAGAAAGCCACAAGCTGTTGGCATGTTTGTGCCCGCCCGTCAGCCCTCAACTGTTTGGGGTCTCTGCTGGTGTAATCTTGAACGGTTTTCCACGTTTGGTGCCCGAAAACAGCCCCGGAAATGGCACCGAGCCTCAACAAACCCATGCCGTGGCAAACAAAAAAAACACGCGCCACAGCGAGAATGCAGCGGTCGCCGGTGTGTCTGCAACCGGAGTGGTGTGAACAAGCAACATGCCCGGAATCTGTTCCGGAAAGCTGACTCTCGTATGACCACTTTGCCATGGGTCAAAATCCAAATCGTACCCCGAGTGAACATCCCAATCCAACCACTAAAAGAGGTTCTAAAATGGGTGGTGAATTCACCAATCCCAACCAAAATGGGATCCCAAAAGGTGTCAAAAACCCACAGCCACTTTGCCATATTTCGGGTCCCTTGATTCTTAAGTGCGCCTCAACTTCCCCCAAAATTCCCACGCACAAGTTGGCCAACTTTTGGCGGCTCGCGCCTGAAATGGTGACCCAGCCAGCGAGCTCATCCTGGCCGAGCCGGAAAATCGGGAACCAAACGGCCTGGGCTTGCTGGGGGGTTGGGGACGTGTCCTTTTGGTTGGCCCTGTTGGGTTGAAGAAGTGAGTTCAAATTGGTCATGAAGCACTCCCAACTCCTAAAGCCAGGCAATTCTTTTGGCCAAGCCCAGATGCTTTCAATCGTAGCGGCCTTAAGCGTATTGAGGAGATAGTCGTAGGGCAACAAGGGTACGTCATGAGGCGCAAATGCATCGGGTGCAACCTGAAGAGTACGGCTCTGGAAGGATTACAAGGACTTTGGCTTCGCAATCCAAGATGGTCCGCTGAGGATTATATACAGTACATACATGTAGAATACTTAATACATGTATTGAAAGGGGAACCAAAGAGAAGCTGCCTGCCTGGGAGGTTTCATCATTTGGAGGCAAACCATGTAGGTCTTCTGATGCCCCTGGGAGGTACTAGAACTCCCACTAACATCGCCAACTCGCGGAAATGGCGCAAAGGGCGCGGCCAAAAATAATGCTGTCGCTCTCACACCTTGGGTTACAACACCCACACACACTCACCAAATGCACGTCACACAAAGAAAAAGAAAGGCAACACAGGACAGACATGGGGGAGCTAGTTCTTCGAGCCCAGAACGAAATAGGCATCCCCCCTTACACTGGTGGGTACCTCTCGTGCCCTCGAACGCCAAACACATTGGCATGGTTGTGGCAAAACCAGCCATTTCTGTGACACCATGGGTCATTCCCGAGACGACTTGATCACTTTAAAGATGAATTCCTTGGCTCAGGGAAAGTGAACCAAAGCATTGCCCTAAGTTCCACAACCATGCCTCTCTTGCCCTTGAACAGAGTTCCCAATAGTTCCAACCGGAGAGCATCACCTCTACAAAGAGAAGCGCACCTATGGGACAAAAAGGCGATGCCTGGTGTCCTGTTACTTTCCCTTCAACACCACTCCAAAACGGGGATCCTCAAAAAGAATGACACACCCAACTATGGCTATGAATTTTACTGGGGACCCCCAGAAAAGTGGTTGGTGGACATAAATCCCCACCTAAGTGATGTCCACCAAAGGGCCCCAAATTAATGTTCACACCACATGGCTGTGGGTCAAAAAGGTGCCCAAAATGGGTTGCCCTGGCAAATGGAACCAAGGACTAAAACCTGCTGTCCAATTCCTGGTGGTTTAACTTTGACCCATGCCCAAATATAGGGATTCACCCATGAGCTACGGCAAACCATTTCCCGGCCTGCGTCGCCTGGCAGCGCAGCCGCATCACTCTGGTGTTCTCCTCGCCGACTTTCGAGCTTTGGCCAAGGAAGGCAAAACAAATGTGGCAGCAACTTTCTTTTTGCCGGGTTTTGCAGGCATCTCGTGATTCAGGCAACAACTTTTGTTTTGAATGTTTAGGTGGCCATGTGTCAAAAGAAGCAACTCCTAAAATTGTGATTCATTTTCTTGCTGGTGCGATAGGCAGGGAATGAGTTGGAATGACCCCTACAAAAACCATCCAACTGGTGGTTTGTTTTAAAGGGGAACCCTGGGCTCATTCCCACATTCCCTACCTGTCGCACCAGCAAGTTTTCAGTATTTAACGTCCAGTCTCCATGTAGTTTCAAAATAGGTTTGTCGGGCGCTCGTATGGGGGATGTCTGAACATCCTACAAATGGCTTTCCAAATGCATATGGGATTGTCTCAAAATGAAATATTATGGAGAAAAACAAGCTGAAACAAAGCCCATTTGGTTATCCCCCCAAATATGGAAAATAGGGACACCCATGCTGGTGTTTGCTCTGGTCTCCCTGTGACAACACAAAAAAGGTAGGTGCCCTCCAAACAAAGCCTGCAGCCTACCTGTTCATGAACCCCTTGAGCTAATTAACGCATCATGGTTTGATTCAGCGGCACCTGTTTGGATTTGGGTGCGTATGGTTTTGTCTTGCAAAGGATCTGGCTGGTCCCCATAATTGTGTCCGGTTTCGCTTTTGGTGTTTCTTTGAAACCAACAAACCGAGCTTTGAAGCTCCGGGCGGCAATGCGTCCAAAGCAGGCGCAAACCCAAATTTGGCGATTCTCTTTTGGTTTCCCGAACCAACCCCAAAACCGAACCACACGAACCGAACGAAACTCCTCGTTGCAGGGCCCCTCCAAAGCCTCAAGGACCTGGCGATTCAACGGTGGCAGGAGATCCTTCCGACGTGCGCGAAGCTGACGATAAAAGACAGGTTTTTGGAACAGTTGTTTTTTGGGTTCGCCCTGTTGGAAAGAGGGTGCGAACAATAAATACTACTTGCGGTTGGTTCAATTGGGTAGGACCCCTCTTTTGTGAGAACATAGAAACTATCGCATAGGCCTTCCAGGTCCTCGACACTTAACAAATTGTCCGTTGCTCATGTATCAACGACTTTTGAAGTTCCATTTTGGCATGTCCCGGCTCAATGATCAAACAAATTAGAACCAGGCTCCACCTGTGTTTCAACGTTGTTTTTGGGCAAATTTGACGTGAATGTCCTTTTTGGCACATTGATGTTTGATGCAAAGTGGCACAACATGTCAGGATGCTGGGCGGAAACAGCAGCAGAACAAACGTGATTTCACAGTTGGATTCGTGACCAACAGTCCTTCAATAATCCGTCCCCCTTCTATTGGTCGGTCACACATGGTCGACCCTATTTCCACTTTCCGCTCCCCATGGTCTCTTGTTTGAGGCTCGCTGCTTTCCAGTTTCCACTCCCCACAGTCTCTTGTTTGAGGCTCGGTGCCCGTTTTGGGGCCATTGAAACGGAAAACTGAACCCGCTCCGCATTTTGGCACGCTTCAAACAGAAACCCGAAGACAACACTCGTCGCGCAGAAGAAAACCAAAAGAATGCGACCCGGTTGGCTTCTTTTGGGCGGGAGCAGTGGTTGCATTTTGAGGGGCTCTCAAAAGTACTTCGGGTTGGAAACCAATTTTTAGCAAACGTAGAGTACGGCGATTGGAACGCTTAGCCGGTTTTGTCGAAAAACCTGGCTTTCATCGATTCTCAAACACCCCTTACAGGGACAAGTACTTGAAGCAGGGGCTCCTCAGGCTATCTCAGGCTGAGCACAGATGAACCGAAACCAATTTACATCCCTGAAGGCAGCTCACCGCGCGCATACGCACGACTCGACACACACCTCGCCAACTTCCAAGCGCCGTAAAGTCTTGGACTTGATGGAGATCTCTTGGCTCATGACGGTGGCCTCCCAGCTGAATCTGTGTGTGTGAGCTTGGAGGGCACCCTTATTCCCGATTTAGGTTGGTGAAGATGCACATTCAACCCAGCACTCCTGGATTCTGAGGGGTGGTTTTTTGGGGGCTTCGGGTTTGTTGATCGAAGGGAAGTTTCCAAAGTTCTCAAAGTTTAGGAGGGGTTTGTGTTTTTAAGCCTATCCCTTCCAGGTTTGCTTCTTAAAGGGCAATACAGTATCTTTCATGGTTTTGTGGGGATGGCTTTTTGGGGGGGTCCTTCAATTCACAGTCCAACTTTCTCAGCGTTTTGGTGGGATTTTTTGGAGGGTGCCATTTTCTGGCTGATTCATTGCAAATCCCAAATTGAATTGCTCAAGGTTTTTCAGGGCGTTGCGTTTGTGACGGCGCCGTGTTCATGCTGGTTTTTTCACGCTCCTCCAAACATTGGGGTCCCTGCATGAGCCATCCAGGGCGGAAAGATGCGGGAAAACCCACAAAGACATGGCTCGTTTCAAGCTGGGCCAGTCTTGCCGTCTGGGGCAGCTGGCCATCGTGGCAGCCTGAAGGCCGACTGCAGAGCAGCGGGCATGCCAAGCTGCGCTACCGCGCAAAACAAAGTGCACCGTGGCAGCCTTGAGCAACTTAACAGTTTTCAGGGACCACCATTTGTTCACGGGCGTCAATGGATACGCAAAACGCAAGGCGTCAGCATGGATTCCCACGCAAACTTTCATTGCAACGACGATGTGGGCACCCGTCGATCTTCCGGCGGCATCCGCAGCAGGGAAGACACCCGCCTTTCTTTGTGAAGACAGGCGCCTGCTCCCAAATCTCCAGCCTGCAAAAGAGCTGAGTCTGCGCACCTGTCTGGTCCCCTCGCAGCATCCTCCTGCTGCTCATCAAGCTTTACGAAGTCATCTTACCAACCAGCGCACCTCGTGCGAAGTTCCCTCCTCGACACCTTGACACAATGACAAGTGCTACGTGACACGCGCACTGCTTTTACGTGCGACAACGCGTGGTATGCTGGCATGCGACAGGGCCGACGTCAGATGCCATGATGTAAGATGTCGGTTTTTGACATATATCTTACATGCTCATAGGGCATGAAACAGCATGATATGGCATGCCATGACATGGCCCTAGCACTGATTGACATCCGCGGCGTGGCAGCAAACAAGAATGTTGCGCATACGACGTGACATGATGCACCGGGCGAAACAAATGAACTATTCTTGTGCGTGATAAACTGAAACTCGTGTTTCCAAAAATCACAAGCCTAAGCAAGCTAGAGCCTCAAACAGGCCTGTTTGGCCTGTTGCAAGGTCCAAACAATTCATTCGAAGATCAAGGCCTCTACTAAAATCCAATGATGCTTGGGGCAACAAACTGGCTTGACCTCCCAAAGGGCCTCTTTACCAAGTCGGACAGCCGAACCCTTCGGTTTTGCGGTGTGGGCGGAACGAACCAAGACGGCCAAGGAGCAAAACTTAAAACCTGACGCCAACGCCTGCAAAGCGAACTGCCGGCCTTGCGCCTCGTGCAACGCAACACGTCATGCGCCCTGCAGAGCTCCGACGGCGAAGGCCTCGACCTTCCACACGCTGCCCAAGTTGCCGGAGCCGAGCATGCAAAGCGCCACAACTGGGCCTTGCGAAGCTCTGCGCCTTTGCGAGCCTGAATCAGAAAGGGCACTGACTCCCCAGCGCGTCAACCTCAAACACCACCCTCCAAAACGGGAGCCCGTTGTTCTGCAGGCTTGGGGGTTGCTGGAGAGCTGGACAATGTGCTTGGACAAAAAAGAGCCAGGATTCGGACGGTCAAACGTATGCATGCCAAATGGCTCCAACTCCGTTGGGGGCCAGTCCCGAAGCAAAGGGCAAACCATTGGGCCAACCGGGGCCCATCACTCAACTACACAACCAACAAGCTTTGCGCCAGCTATGGGTGACTGGAGACGCGGCAGTCTGCTGCTGTGACGACGCAGAAGATCACCCCTATTTTGACACATACTCAAGCGCGGGGCGGTGTAGCTGGGTCCCACAGGACAGATCTATGACTTCTTTTTGAGCGGCTACAAACTTCCCTGGCTCTGGTCTTGGAATCCTCTGGCGCTTGGCCAGCGTTGCCGATCCGGGCCCCAGCGACAGGAGTGCTGGCTTTGAAGACTTCTTGCTGTGAAATGAAACCTGAGCTTACTGAAAATTATCGCAAAAACATAATATAGTAAATCCGTGACGCGCAAGCATTTTTGCTGACGTGGGCCAACCTCACGGCTGCTGGCAAAACCGAAGGCGGACCACAGCCAATAAGCGGCCTCAGCGGCGGGGTATACGCAGAAAGCAAGGCTAAGGGGCGCGCGTCACCGCTTTCTATTCCGCCATTTTGGCTTGATTCCCCTAGGTAGAGGTCAGCGTTGGCCGTGTCCAGCGCGTCCCACGCGAAAGCCTCCGTAGCCTCACGCAGTCAGGATTGATGAGCCTACAGTGCTGGATTCAACCGAAGCCGGCCGCGCAGACAACCGCATCACGCGCAGACCCAATGGTACTTGAGCAAAGCAGTGGTGGATCTAGAGGCTTTGAGCTATGTTCGAGCTGGAACATGCGCGTGTCCGAACGCAGCTGGGGCAGGGGCGCATGATGCTGCATGATGGAAGCAAGAGCGTGAAGGAATGGGTATGTCCCTTTTGGGGAATCTCTCGTTTGGTTGGATTGAAAGGACATTTTGGCGCACATCCCAAAAGCTTCTGTTCTCTAGCCGAAGGTCCGGCATCTTCCAGCCTTGAAACAAAGCTAGGAGGCTGGCAGCCCATTGGGTACCTTGCAATATATCCCCTGCCAGAGGTCTTTGCTCACTTCGAACGGCCTCGAGTTTTGTGCTCTCTTTGTTCCGGCTAGCGCAGAACAAAGGTCGGCTGATGGAGGCTTAGCTGGGCAAGGGTTTGCACTGCAGCCAGTTTCTCCTGGTCCAAAATTTGAGCCCTGCAACCCTTAAAATGCCAAGATTAGGGATTTGCGCAATCAATGTCGTCTGACAGCTGTTTCGGGGCTAGGCCCAGATTAAGCTAGTCTTGGTTTGCAGGCCAAGCTTGATAGGGTCATAGTACGGGTTTGTGCGTCTCTCCTACTCCAGATTTGAGCCTGTACCCCTTATACTGCCAAGATTAGGGGTTTGCGCAACTTCTAGCAGCCGTTTCGGGGCTTCGCCCACTTGCGTTGCAGCGCCGTTTTTTTTGGAAGATACCCTTTCAGCTTGGTAAACTCAAATTCGAACGTGTTCAGGGTTTCTGAGGAAATTGTTGAGGGGAGATTCCCAAGTGCTCAGGGAGTTCGAGGGGATGGTTTGCTCGAGGGTAGTGAAGGGCCGCCAGTTTTCAGCCTGTGTGCGGGGATTGCATTTGCAGGTTGGTTTATTGAAGGGAAACTCCCAAGTGGTCAGGGATTTTGAGAAGATGGATCCATGGGGCTACCCTCTTCATCCTTGGTGTCAAGAGAAACCATTTTGGAAGTCCTCCCATTTTGGGCGCCCCAGCTGAATGTTCGGCTGAACCTCCTTTGCCAAAATTTGGCCAGGGAAACCAAAGAAACATGAATGGCTCGCGGATGGTTGCTCCAAAGCAGGCTAGAAATCGTGACCACGAGTGACACAGAGAAACCAACATGAAACAGAATCTGTGGTGAGATGGCAAAGTGGGCGCATCGAACTTTCGCCAAAGGAAATCCTTGGGAGTTGGCTCTTTTGAGAACCCGCTCGGCGCGACCTGCATACGCCGTCCTGGATGTTTGTGTTTTTCTGCCGGAGATCTTGTCACCATGGACCGCATATGTGCGGTTCATGGATAGGTCTCTGGATTCTTGTATGCCGCTGCGATGCCCCCGCCAGCGTGATGCCGAATAGTTGTTATCAACATCAGCTCACCAGCATCGTCGTTACTTGATACCGCGTTGCCCACAAAAAGGCCACATTGGTGAAATGCGGTGACACACACACACACACACACACCCTCAGCGAGGAACATGTCCCTTGAAAGATGTGTTGCTGCTGACATCTTTAACAAATGCTGGTTGGAATAAGGAACAAGAGTTTTGAGCTGACAAGTATGGATCTCTTGGGATGCCATGAGATTGAAAGGCAACATGCTGCCATCCCACCTGCATCACCGCACCATCCCACGTCCACCCAACAAAGGAAAGGACACCGAACGGAAACCAACTGGGCCTGTTCAACTAAATCCTTTTGACAACGCCATCTGCAGTTAGGTGAATCAATCCATGCGTATGATCAACATGGTGATTGTTCTTTTGGTTTCCCTTCAAGCTAATCAAACAAGTGCACTCTCAAAACACCTGCACACCCACACCCACACCAAACACAATCACACACACACACACACTTACACTTGTGGTACTTCCCAAAGGAGAGCTTTCTAGATCTTGCTGGCATCATGCACCGGTTCGCTTGCCAACTGAAATGACACAAACTCAGACACAAGTGGCTGTGTCTTTGTTGAAATTCTATTCCTTTTGGTTGATTTAAGGGAAACCAAAAGGTTTCACCCGAGGCCCGTTTTGGGGTGTCCGCCATTTGAAGATTTACAAATACACCAAGGGAGCCCTGTGGAAGAAACCTGCAACGTTGCAGGAGACCCCAGCTCTTGGTTGCTCAAAACCCAATAAGCCGCTTCGCACCTATTTTTTTTCAGAAAGGGCACCTATGGAGGCCCCTGTTTTGCTGTTTTTCTTGGAAAGGACAGATGGTGTAATATGAAGATTTTGCGTTCTTTTTTTTGGGGGGGGGCCGGGGTCCCGAATCTTGGAGACAAACCTAGCCCCCCCGCCCCCCCACTCAGAATGAGACCCCAGTTTCCGGGGGGTGGCCCCTTTTGCCCTCAGATCCCCTGCTATTAAGTTTTAGTGGGTTTCACAGAAAGCCAACCACTAAACACTAAAAAGCTAAAAAGCTAAATGGCTGACGAACCGGATGGCCGGGAGCCGCCAAGTCTTGAAACCCATGGTTTGTGTTTGTTTTCTCTTTGGGGTGGGGTGGAGACGAACCCAAATGAACCGAACCGAACCGCACCCGCCTTGACGCACTTGTAGTAGACCCGCACGAGTTCTCGAAAGCCCTCCTTGCTGAGCTCTCCTGGTGACCCCACGCAGTTTTTCTTCGAACCCACCAAGGGGGGGGAGGGGCCATGCTGTGGACGCCTGGGCGTTTTTTTTCTTCTTCTTTTTGCGAAGGGAAACCCCCCATTAGAAATGGGGTGTCTCTTACTTAGCGAATCCCGATCAAAACCATCTGAGATGGGAAAACTATGACCAATATCGGAAGCTGATTTGGTCAGAACCATTGCTTAAATGTGCGACTGTGGATCATGTGTTGGAGCTGTCCCTTTGGAACCTCACCCATTGTCCTTGGGTCTATTGAAGTGACACCCTCATATCCCTCCAAATGGCGGCTTGAAGGAATCAGGCCCCAGAATGCAACAAACAATTGGGGAGGTAACAAATGGTTGGATACATTTTAAGGAGAGAACATTTAAAAATCAGTGTGGTAAAAACTGGGCTTGATAAAACTTTGGGAGGTAAACTTGAAGAAATCGGTGTGAGGTAACTTTTTTGAGGACTCCTCAAAATGCCCACCGCTGTGGTGTAAGATGCGACACCCAGCCTTCGCCCGCGAGGTTCTTGAAAAGGTCCTCCGCTTGCCCGTCGAAGAGCTCCAAAGCCAAGCCTCCACAAAGGGCATCGGCGGATGGCCCCCTATGGTTGCGATCGAATGATTTTTCTCCGGGCAAATCCAATTTGGAGACAGCCGCTTATGGTTGCGATCGAATTTTCTTTCTTGTCCGCCAATCTTCCTTTTGGGAATGTGTCACCTAGGTCCTCCAGTAGAAAGGTAAGAATAAGTTGGTACCCGATTTTTGTTTCTGTAGTCTAGTTTAGTAGGTGAACCGAATCTCCCCCGCAAAAGAAACGGCAAAGGGCACCTAGCTGGGGTACCTAGGGTTGCGATCGATTTTTCTTTCTGGTCCGCAAATCTTTCGCTGGGAATTTCGCCACATAGGAAGTGGACCCCTTCCTTCGACAAAACCGTCTGACAGGCCCCACCAGTCGTTCTGCACGAATCACTGTAATCCACCAACCAGCATGACACAAAACTTGGAGTGGAGAGCTTGCTATACTTGGTGCAAACTGTTTGACATAGGAATTGGACCCCACCGTTTGTTACCTTTGAACAATCTAAACCGGGCCACCGCTCAATGTTTCGCTGTCCTTGAGCCAACAAACGTGAAGGTTCACAGGGACTTTCTTGGAGGACCATTGTCTCTCACACAAAAAGGCCTTCTAGACTGATTGAAAGCTGACAAAGTGATGTCGGCCCAGGATGAATAAACCCGTCCCATTAGGGGGGTGTTCCCTCTGTCTCCCGTCACGAAAAGGGGACACCGCCCTATTCAACCAGGGGTTCTGCTTGATCCGGGGTTAACATTATCAGCCGGCCGCTGCGCTCGCGCCTTTCAGGAAGCCTACGAACTTCTCCTTGGACAAAGCCTCGCCGCCGCTCAGCTCCTCGAAGAACTGGTCCACAGATTTCTCCTCGACGGAACTCGGCGGCGGAATCTGCGAAGCCCTGCTAAAAGTGGCTCACTTTTAGTGGCTTGATACGGAAAACCCATTCGTTGGCAAAAAGTGAAAGTCCTAACATCCCTTGGCAAAATGCAACAAAGGAAAAAACAGCAGCGAGCCCCCCGCGGATTTTTTTATCCACGGCAAAAAGCAGCGAGCGCCCCGCGGATTTGTGCTTAAAAACAAAAAACAAAAAACGAGCGGAACAAGCTTGGAAGAAATCCTTGAAGAGCATCGACGCTGGACAAAATATCTGCGAACAGGGCTTCAACGCCCCAGAGAATCCCGGAACAGCGACAGGAAACCCAAGGGAAGAAGCCTAACGGCAAAAACACCTGGAAAGCAACGTGTTACCCGGGCAAACTCCTATCTTCCTACCACCCTCACAAATGAGCTATGTTTGTTTTTCAATTTCTGTGATAGCAAAGTAGTTTCCTGGTGTCACAAGTTGAAACCATGCCATGGGTTGAAGCATGGAAACGTGGCATTCGACAGCCAAAGTGGGCTGTTCCATGCTTCATGACACAGTGGACAATAGAGGAGCCTGTCCTCGAATGTGAGGGTTGGCCTCGGAAATGGGTTGCGTACACGCACACGCACGTACGCGCAAACAAAACAGTCCAAACCAAACCACACCACACCACACACACACACACCTCCCGTTCAAAATCTGCCAGGTGTCAGGGTTTTTCTTATCTTCTAGCAAACAGCCCTTTCCGTGATGCCAGCATTTGCATGGCTACTTTATCGCTTTACAAAGGGACTCGTGAAAAACACAGAAAGTGGGCGTCCTCCGAGTTCATCTTGGCCCGTATCGCCGTGGCACACTCAGTGCCTTAGACGAGCCGATCGAGTCAAGTAGGCCCTTTGGAGGCACATCTCTGCACCCCAAGGTGTAGCGCAAGGAGTTGTTTGGGACACCCTGGGCGGGTTCGGGACCCCAATGGGTTGGTTCAGTTGGCGTTTTGGGTTTGCCACTGAAAATGGTGAATCCCATGAATCGCTCTAGTCGTGCACCGGAATTCAAAGCAGGTTTTTTTGGTGACAGTTGGGTGCAAATAGGCGTAGTCCTGGCCCAATTCAGGTTTAGTCAATCCCCTGAGCTACGGAACTGGACATGTCCAATGAACTTTCACCAGATCGGGTACAGGAAAGGATCCCTTCCATCTGTTGGTAAGGACTAACTAAACCTGGGGTATGTTCACTACCGCTGTGCTGGATCGTTGGATTCCAGCAGTTCTGTCAAGCTGTTCCAGCCCGCATTTGGGTCATGAACATGGGGTGCAGCTCCCTCACTGCACTGAAATAATGAACTCGTCAAGATCAAATCAAAAAACTTGGGAGGTAGGTTTGTCTCGAAAGAGGGACCATAGAGTGTGGGTGCCAAATAGGGGGTCTGGAAAATGTTGCGGAAGTGGCTTCCTTTGTGGTCAGATTGGTCAACAGGCTATGTTGCCACTCCCTGCTGGCTTCTTTGTGACCAAATCACACATCATAGGCCATTTGGCTGTGGGTCAAAAACAGGTACCCCAAATGAAACCCTGGTACATGGACGCATGGACTAAACCCTGCGGTCCATATCCTGGTGATTTAATTTTGACCCATACTCATTTGGCACCCAACATGTACCCGCTTCTCTTCCCCGCTCGCTTGCCGAAGGGCGCTTCTGGTCGAACTCGGCGTATGCTTTGCGCCGGGCCTTCAGCTGCAGAAAGGCCCTTTGTTGGAAGATGTGACATGTGGGTGTGGCTCAAAATTAACCAGGAGGGGCAAACCGCAGGTTTTGGTCCATGTGTCCACTTACCAGGGTTCCATTTTGGCACCGGTTTTTTGAGCCACAGCCATGTTACAAGAAGAACCTGGTGGAGCATCGCTGTGAAGGAAAGACATCCTATGCCAGTGGGATAAACCACCTACAAGCTGCAGGATGTTGTCCATCAGGGGGGGTATTCTAACCCCCCCTCAAATCGAAGGATGCATTCACTTTCCGTGAATCCCTCCGCAAAACCAACGCCCCAAACAAGATCCTGGGTGAAATATAATATTTCACCAACCTGAAATGAGGTGGTTGGGAACTATTCTCCACATAAACCACCATTTGGGGTGAATTTGGTCGTGAGAGGTCGTTATAACTCACCCAGAGGATCATCACCCATCGAACAAAAAACACAAATTGCCCGCCCGACCGGCCTTCTCCCTTGCTAACTTCAGCGCCGCTGTGATCTTGGCCAGCCGCCCTGCGAACAAATTTTCGGGACGTCGCAAGGTGGCAGTGGTTGTCAAAACCGTTTTGGGATCCCATTTTGGTTGGTAGGTGCACCACCCATGGTACCAATGCTAAAAATGGGGCAGGTACCATTTTACTACCATTTTAGGCTATATTTTAGTGGTTGGATTGGGATGGTTCTTAACTGGGGGTACGGCCTTTGGATTTTGACCCATGGCCATGTGTGACAGAGCCTTGGCCCGGGAGGCCGAGTCGCGGGTCCCTTGGCGGATTTGTTTTCTTTTCTTCGGGTCCTCACTGAAATGAAATGGGCAAATAGTGGGTCGGCAAAGAAAAAAGGGGCCTGAAAGGATGGGAATCCAGCGGATTCCAGCCCTTGATAGGAGAAATCAGGTGATTCCTGTGCAGACTGCCCCCCGCCTTTGAGTCGAACATCTCTCCTCGGTGCGCGCTCGTGGCTCACATGGCAGGGCACTCGACACCTGGTTGGCTCAGCCTTTGCGTCTTGTTTCGAGGGTACGCTTTTTGGGTAGGTTTGGAAGGGAAACCGAAAGGAAAGCAACCCTTTTGGGTGTTCTATTTTGATACACTCCCAACAAATGGTACGGCCGCCCAACATTGACCGCGAAAGGCCCACAAACAAGCCGTGGCGACTGCATCCCCGAGGCCAAAAATGGATCGTTTGCCCGGCCTTCGGAGTCGGCCTCACAAGGATTGTCGTTTGGCCGCAGCCAGCGCTCCGATGGGGTTTGACCGGAAGCAAGCAGGAGGCAGGCAGGCAGGCAGGCAGGCAGGCAAGCAAGAAAAGCAAGCACCAAAAGAAAGCAAGAAAGCAAGAAAGCAAGCAAGAAAATACAAAAACAAACAAAACAAGAAACACAAGAAATGCAAGAAATGCAAGAAATGCAAGAAATGCAAGAAATGCAAGCAAGACACAAGCAAGCAAGAAACGCAAGAAACGCAAGCAAGAAGCAACAAGCAAGCGAGCAAAGCAACCAAAACTTGTTTCCCACTTAAAACCAGCAAGAACATCTAGCTTCAATCCCAGAGGCTCCTGGCTTCGGCTTATGGAAGACCCGACCACTCCATTCCCCCCGGAACTAGGTTGACGTTGGAAGTGGAGCAGAAATTTAAATTGTAGCAGCCAAGTGGGGGTTTCAACCACTAAACCGCAATAAGCAAAAATGTGTCCAATGCTTCCCAACAACAACCATGGGAAGGGGGCCGGGACCCGGTCTCAAAAGGTTGTTGGAAGGCACTAAATCACTCGGGTCCCAGCTGGGAGGTCAAAAAGTGGTTTCCCCCCTCTGGCATGCCAAGCTGATCCCAACCATCGGTGGCCGTTGAGAAAAATAGATGGGTTCCCCTGGAAAATGGATTGAATAAACCCCATCTAAACCACCCTAAACCCTAAACCCTAAACCCCATCTAAACCAGGAATCGCCCCCAATTTTTAAAAAGCAAACCGAAAAGGAGACCTATGATCCCAACAAACCCGACCAAAGAAGACCCCAGGCTCTGCTCCAACTTCTTGAGCTGCGTCTGCCCGAAGAGGGTGATGCTCTCATCCGCTTCGCAAGCCTCCTGAGTCCCCAAAAACCGCCGACGGATCCATGGCCGGCCATGGGTCAAAACCCAAATCGTACCCCCGGTGAACATCCCAACCCCCAGTATAGACGAAAATCGGTGGTGCAACTACCAAAATGGTACCCAAAACGGTTTTGACCCACAGCCATTTAAGCTTTCTTCGCTCCGCGAAACGGCAGGTTCCGGGTGGAAAAGGTGGGAGGGTAACCCATCTTGGTGTCCAAATTTGCTTTTTCGCCCCTGGGAAAAATGAGAAAATATGTCCTGTGGTAGGTTCACTTTAACCAGCAATACAAACAACTAAAACATGATTAAGCAAACGGAGGCCAGATTTACCAATAGGGGCTCGCTCAACTTCCCACATTCTCCAAAGCTAGGAAAGGTCCCTCGGAAAACAATCAAACACGCGGACACACACGACTTGTCCGGCTGACCAGCCATGGTTTCGAAGAGGAATCAATCATCAGGGAGAACCAACCAACTATGATACAAGTTTCGTGGTTTTCTCTCCAAACTTCCGAGCAAGAAACCCGCAGCAAAGCTTCTCAGAGCCTTAGGGACTCTGATGGGGGTGGAAATTCCCACGGGGCTCTTGGGTAGGTGGCATCCATTGGGAAAGATGGGTGCCACTGGATGCCACTGGAATGATTGATGTGATTACCTTGGTTGACGTTGGAAGGGGAGCAAACATCTAAATTGTTTGCAGTTTAGTGGTTGGATTTCAACCACTAAACCACAATAAGCAAAATTTTGAAAAAATGCTTCCCAACAAGAACCATGTGACAATCGGTTTGGCAAATGTGATTGATTGCCAAACCAATTCACCTGCGGGATCCGGCTGGTCCACAAGACCAAACAAAAGGCCAATAAAAGAACGACACGCGTGACTAGCTTTTAGCAGGTTAAATTCGGACACTACCTAATCAACTAAAAAGCTAAGAAGGTAGGAAGCTAAAAGCTAACAGAACCGGATGGCTGGGAACCACCACGTCTGCATTCCCAAAGTGCTTGGCTCTCGTCAAACCAACTTCTCCCGCGCCTTGGCCTCTTGCATCTTTTCCAAGCCTTTCTTCGACTCCCCCTCGGCTTGCTGCACCACCTGCTCTGCCTGAGCTTCTTGCAGGGTCGCTCGTTTTGGTTTTTGAGGGGAAACAGGCCGACTCCAATAACCTTTTCATGGCTTTTCAGCATATAACCCATAAGGATTCCATGGACGGCGCGAAGGTATGGAGCTAGTTCAATCTTCCCCCTGCGCCCATGGGTTCAAGGGCTGAAAGCGATCGGATGCGAAGAGAAACCACCGGTGCTTGTCCTTGGTGTCTAAACCCGTTTGCTCGAACCTATGCTTGGTTGACGTTGGAAGGGGAGCAAAAAGAAAAAAAAATAGCAGCTAAGTGGTTGGATTTCCACCACTCAACCACAATAAGCAAAAATGTAAAATGTTTCCCAACGACAACCATGCATGGGTCACTTCACCCCTCAGGCGGTGAGCGGGTGAGCCTGCCAGTGTGAGTCGATGGAACGGACTCGCCCACACAGGAACACGCGTGAGTCGAAGACGGAGCTAAAACGTGCGCGTGCACTCTGGTTGGGTTGCTAGGATATTATTTTACGCGCCTACATAACTACACATGGTTCTCCTTAATCCGGCTTTATAGTTCCCCACCTGCCTCATTCTAAGTATTTAGGCCCTAGTAAACCCTAAGTGCCAAACGGAACCACGGGGTCGCGACCCCAGCTTCTAACTTTGAGAGGGTCCGCGAACAATGGGGGAGCTGAAAGGCTAACAAGCTAGGAAGCTAAGGAACCGGATGGCTGAGAACCAAGAAGCCAACCACTAAACCAACTAAGAAAGGAACGGTCACAGTGGTCAAGAGAAGGAAATTGGAAATTGACTACTAAACCATGAAACCAATTAACAAGACAAGGAAATTGGGAAGGTCACACTTCGGGGCGCTTGGTACCCCTCCACTCGCCCACGCGTCAGCCCCGGAAGCGGCGGCGGAGCCCTGGCCTCCGTCGCCTCCGTCACGATCTCCTCGGAGGCCTCGGAAGGGAGCTGGACATCCAGCGGCGTTTTTTGTTTTGTTTTTGTTTTTTTCCCCGCCGCCCCCGGCGGCCCCCGGCGGCGAAAAAAGAAATTGAAACCTGTCTAGTGCTAGGTTCCCTAAAAAAAAAGAGGCAAGGGACACTGGGTGCTTTCGGCAACTGTCCAGTGATAGGCGTTTTCTTCGAAACCAGCAAGGGAGAATACCACATATTAATTAAGCAAATGGAGGGAATGGACTATGGAGGTGGTTGGAATCGGGGCTTGTCAAACCCGAGATGTGCTTGAAGCTCCAAACACGCATGGCTATGGGTCAAAACCCCGTACCCTGAGTGAACATCCCACTCCAACCACTAAAATAGACTAAAATGGGTGGTTGACCCACGGCCACATGTGCTCCAAACAAGTAGTGAAAGAGTAAAGAGGCGCCTTTTCCTCAGGGGGGTTTCTGGATTTGGAGATGATCCCGGTGAAAGAATGGTGAATGATACGACCCGCGACCCAAGATGGTTCCGGGTGTCATGGAGCAACTTCCCATGGCCAAGGGCCTTTTTGACCTGGGGGAATTGACGGGGGGGGGGGACCCTCCTGAGACCTCCTGAGAGGATTTCGACACCTTGGCGTCCCTTCGTTGCATTTGGGGATGTGTTGCAGGACCCCATTCCGAAACAAAGGCACCTAGATAGCCAAGTTGCTGTTTTGTGCAGTCACAGCATGCCGGCTTTTGGATGGTAAAGTGGATGGATGGAAAAAAGCAGCAACTGGCAAATCCAGGCAGTCTTCCAACAGAGGTAGTCAAAGATTGCTCCTCCATTTGCCGGGCAACTGAGACTCCTGCTGGATTCGATGTATCAACAGCAAGCTGTGCCACTTGCATGTGACGATGCCAGATACAGCATGGCCTGGATATTGTTTTGCAGGAAGCCAAATTGAAACCACCCACTTGCGAGGGGAGAGGGGGGGGGGGTTATCTGATTTGGTGACAGAAACGGTCTGGCTCCCTTTCATTTGAAAATAGCCTCTTGGTTGCTGTTGACCCCCCTGCAAAAGGTTTAACTTTTTGGGGGTTTAGTAGAAAACCCAACTTGATTTTTTCACAAAGTCTAAACATCCAACCCAATAGCAGTCAATCCCTTGAACTCGGTTGCTTTCTGCTCCCCTGCTAAAAGTTTAACTTTTAGTGGTTTAATACGGAAAACCCATGAGTTGGTAAAAAGTTAGTCCTAACATCCCTTGGCAAGATGCACCAAAGTGAAAATACCCTGCACAGGCCACCCTCAACCCACGCAAATTGCCCCGCCTTGCCGGAGTCGTCTCTGATGAGCGGTCGTGCCTTGTTCTCAGCCTCCGTAGCTGTCGCCTACGCAACACGTCGGCAGCTGGGAGGTTGCATGGACTCCAGACCGGCCCGCCTCCTCAAAAGATGGAAGATCAACTTCACTCTAAGATGCCTACAGGACATTCGTGTTTTTTTTGTGGGTGTTTGGCCAGTTTCTTGGAAACAAGACTCCTCTGGTTGGTGTCTATGCGTGCCAAGCCTACATTGAGACCTTACATGGTTTCCACCCCAAACCAATGACAAGAAACTGCCATGTTGGGGGCCTTCCCTTTGCGACAATTGAGGTCGTGTCAAAAATAGGGATGTAAAAATGATATTCGGTTTTCCTTTGGGTTTCCCCTTCAACCCCCCCTCCATCCGAACGGGTGTCATTTTTGCAGGGTGCCCAAGTTGTTGCAGAAAGGAAATGACCAAAAAGAAAACCACCATTTTGCAGAAAGGGCGGCTATGAGGGCCCTTGTTTTGGCTGATGTAGGGCAATTCATACTATGTAATATGCAATTTTGGGTCTCCTCGAGAAAACACACACAAACAAAATGCAAATCAGGATGTAATATGCAATTTGGGGTCCCCGAGAAAAAAAGAAACAGAAGAAACAAAAAACAAAACAAACAAAAAACAAGCAGATCAGCTTCAGCCGCCTCTGCGACGCTCAGCAACTGCGAACTTTCTTCCATGATGGACAGGAAGGCCTCGCGTGCGTTTGGCTTCGTTGGGAGAAAACACTGGCCATCGGTGCGATAGGTAGGGAATGACCGAAACCGGGTGTTGGGAATGAGCCGGTTTTTGGGATTCCCTTAAAGCAAGCCATAGGGGATGGTTTGCAGGGGGTAAGTTCCCTCATTCCCTGCTGAGCACCAGCAAGAGTTGCAAATGGCAAGTGAAATCCGCAATGGAAAGAAAACAAGCTGGCATGCCATTCTTGTCGTTGGCAAAGCAATTCTCACACATGGAACGGTTGCTACATAATTTGTTCATCCGTGAGCCCAGCTGGGGGCTATCACAAAGCTACTCAGCCAAAGAAAGCTCAAGGGGAGGCTGATTCCCCGCATTTTGCAGTCAAGGCCGTTTCCATTGGCTATCGGTGGCTCTTTCACCGCTGAGACTGCCTGGGACTTGGGCATTTGTCTTTCGAATACCATGATTTCCTGCAAAGAATCGGAGCTGTGCAACTATAAGATTTCTGAGGGAGCTCCCCTTTAACGAACGGTAACACCCGACCCTTCGAAAACCATCGCTGCGCAGCGATGTCGCTGTTTTTGCTGAGCTGGTCACCTTTTCGGGGTTGCCTCACAACAGTCTTCAATCACAGGGGCTATATTGCAGGGAATATTTGACGCAGCTGCACGCAAAAAGCACAGGGGTGGGCAACTCATGGAAAAAGCGCTTTTTGTTCCCCAATAGCCAGCCATTCACAAGGAGTCAAATACCCCCATTTGAAATTCAGAAGAAGAAAAAAAACGCTACCTGGAAAAATAAAATAACCGAATGCCAGGCAGGCCACAAAGCCATGGTAGTTCGCTCTGCCCAGGATGCAGTTGGTTGGTCAGTCTCATCCTAAACAGTCGGTGTCTCATGCCCAGAAGTCCTTCGTGACGAAGTGACGCGAACTCGATCTTTCACCAAGCAAAACGTCAACGTCTCCTGAAGCCCCCTGGAAGACATATATAAACATATGTCCAGTATTGTCCAGTAGTGATAAAGTCCCTTTTAAACCAATAAGGGACACTAAAAAAACAGAGTCTCCCCTTTCCTCCACCTCAAAGTCAGCGCAATTGTAACGATCTCACTGCATAATACAGGAGAAGCTCATGATGAAGCTTTCTTTCGTGCGGATCCCGTATTTGAAGTCCACCCAAGTGCAAAAAAAATACCAGTGTCCGCCAAAAGGAACCACACCTCGTTTAAGGCTGTCATTGCTGAGCCTGTGGCGGATTTCCAACAGGCTCCCGCTTCACTTTTGGCTTCCTAACTCAACCCAAAGGGTACCCAAACTCCAAGCACGCCTCCCCACCCTTTTGGTTTCCTTTTTTTTGCAACCCGAAGGCTACCCAAACACTCCCCAGAAGTGGGATCCATAAACCGGATCCAGCGGATCACTCGGATCTCGTCGGAACCAGTCGGGAGCCGCCTGCTTCCGCTCCTCCAAGGCAACCCGCTGCTCCTCCTCCGCCTGGGCCTTGCGCTGGGCCACCAGCTCCCACTGGGCGATGAAGACCTCCCGAGGTCGAGTCGTTCGCCCCAGGCGCGCCCGGAACGAAGGGGCGGAAGGTCCGTGATGATTAGAGTTAGGCCCAGTTGTAGAATGTAGATTTCATTCTTTGCTTCACTTTGAGTCACTGGTAAAATGTAAAATGTATCCTAAGTCGATCGCCAGCTGCAGCTGCGATCGCTTTTGTCCATCCACTTTGCCATACAAAAACCAGCAACGGTGACTGAAAAAGCGATCGCAACTTGGCTATCTAACTTCTCAGTTGCTCAGTTCGGACCTGGAACGCAAAGGTGATCACCGTTTGGGCCGGTTGGGTTGCCAGGAGTAAAATCGGTTGCCAAAAAACCCGAAAACCAAAAGGTCAGATCCGGTCGATTTCGCTTTGAACAGAGGGTTGGCACCAGGAACTGGAAACATCCTACTGGGCATGCGGAAATGGATCTGTTACCCATGGATCTCCCGCCTATGGCTGTTGAGCATAGGCGGGTCTCATGTCATCGCCTAGTTCCCTGATCCATGGCCCGCTCGATTGTTTTCAGGATTACTCCCCAAAATGGCTTCAGTTGTCCTCTTGGTCTCCCTTAAGACCACTCCAAAAGGGTCCCCCTCCCCAAACAAACAAACACATCCCTTTCCCCCCTCCACCCCAACAAAAAAACACAGAATTATGTCATAAATCCAACTCTAAACTCGAACAGTCCAAGGGTCTGGCTGGGCACTGAGGAGCACTCACAAACAACCATGGTTGTGAAATTGAATCACTCCAATGAACTTGCCGGATTTTCGCTGAAGTCACCAAGGGAGTCGTGTCCCCTCCAAAAACGCCACCCACTCCCACTCACAAAGCCTGACTGGGTGGCCTGGACCAGTATCCTCTTGAGAGTCTGTTGAGAGTCTGTGAGTGGCTTCATAGTAGGGCAAATCAAACAAAACCAACGAAGGGTCTACCCAAACCGTACGAGTCGAAAAGAAAACCATCGCACACCAGTCGCTTTTCAGAGGTGTTCCGCGGGACATCGGAGGCCCAAGGGACCAGTCGCCATGGAAAAGCAGGGCGTCCTTGCTTTGTTGGTTAATCTCCAAAAGAACCCCCGCCAAAAGTCCAGAGACCAAGAGCCCTCTGAAACATGCATCCATGTGTTGAGAAAAGCCTTCAGGAAACCACCCGAACCCAACTCCTGTTTTGGCTTGACTTTGCAGTTGCCTGGTGGGTGTTCCAACTCACCGTGTGCAGCATCGAGCCAGAAAGCTTTGGCTTGGTTGTTTTGGGCAACCAAATAAAAAATGGGCCCCATGTCAAATGAAGAAACCCACCCGCCGCCTTCTGGTGCATCGGCCGGAACCTCAGCGACAGAGACGCCATGTTTCTGTCTTCCCGGTGTGAGGCTTCGCGGCTCTGCTTTGTCTTCATGCATGTTCGTGTGCTGTGTGAGACTATGGTTGTGTTGAGTCTACAGAAAGAGAGAGAGAGACAAAAACACAAAAGGTCAAGCAAAGCAATCCAAAGAAAGAAAGCAAAAACGGAAGGAAGGAAGGAAGGAAGGAAGGAAGCAAGGAAGCAACTAAGAAAGGAAGCAAACAAGAGAAAATAACGTAACGGAACATGAAAGAAATACCCACTGTGAAACCGCCCGAGACTTGGAAGATCCATTGTGCCTCTAGAGGACAGTCATGCAAAAAGGGCGGGCGGGTGGTCCAAACCATTGTTCGCGGGCAAAGTTGCAAGTTTTAGGAGTGGTACCACGTTCAGCAAGTAAGTGTGTGTCAAGATGTGGATTTGGACCGCAGAACTTGGGATTCGGGTTTTCGTTGGGCTTCCTTTGAAGCACCAAGGGTACCGTTTGCCTCAAACAAAGAATGTCCAGGTAGCTTGTGTATTCTACCTTGCTGCTCCGCAAAACGATTGTTCGACCTTAAGGATATTTCATGGAAAAGCCATCTCTCTCTGTTGAGGTCACACCCCATGGACCAGCCAGTTGGGCTTAGCTTCTTCTTGGGGGCTTCCAAGACTCGAGGATACTCAGGTTTAGGGGATTCTCAGTTGCTCAGTTCGGACCTGGAACTAGGTGATCACCGTTTGGGTTGCCAGGACTAAAATCGGCTGCCAAAAAGTCCGAAAACCAAAAGGTCAGATCAGGTCGATTCGCTTTGAACAGAGGGTTGGCACCTGGAACTGGAAACCACCGTAGGACATGCGAAGAGAGGAAGACTTAGGAACAGCATGCTGGTTTGGGTTCCCCATGGATCTCCCCCAACGGGTGTTGAGCATAGGTCTTCCGAACCTAGCCGAAGAGAAGCTCCAAACAACTTCCGCCAAAGGCGCTTTGCGGCGGTGATCGGCTCCAGACCCCCGATGATCTTGTCCAAGATCTCCTGGAGATTCGCCGCCAACGAGCGCCCACCCCCCCCAAAACAAAATCAAAGGTGCCCCTTTCAACATCCTGAAAGAAAACTGGGTCTGTTTGTTTTTTGGTTTTTTCTTTCTGGGATTTGTTCCTAAAGAAAATCGGGAAACACGTCCCTAAAGAAAAGCCCTGCAACGAAAACTGGGCTGCCCGATTGCTCAAAGCGACTAACTTTAAGGGTTTTAATGGAAATCCCCACTAAGCACTAAACAGCTAAAAAGCTAGAAAACTACTGGGATGGGAGCCACCAAGAAAACCCTCAAACTAGTTGGCGTCCTTCTAAGCGTTCCAAAAGGAGACCCCAACTAGTTTGCTTCTGTTCCGAACATCCCAAGAGGGACCTCTAAACTACCTACAATCCATACGAGAGGCGTTCTCATGCAGAGGGTTAATGCCTAGGGTTTCGGGTTTTCAATTGTTCTAGGGCTGTGGGCTTGTGTTTGGGGTTTGGGTTCAGGATGTTGCGGGCTGGGGCGGGTTCTGGCTTTCAAATGTTTAGTTGGGCTTTCCGGGGTTTGCAGTTTGGGGGAACACAAGAACCATGCAAGCGCAGCTCCCCCAGAGGATGTGCTCTCCCTTCTTCCTCAGTTGAGTCATAATCAAAACCCGGTATCAAAATGGTCGTAATCCCAGAACCATGCTTCAAGAAATAAGCAGGCGGATATCCGCAGCTGTTTATGGCAAGGGGATTGTCCCTTACTAACCTTCATCTACCCGGGTTTTTTGATTGCGGCTCAGTTTCACTGCCTCAAGCTCGATGTCCTTTTAGACCATGGCCCCAAAGGGCGGCTTTGACCGCCTACCGGCTTTACAACTTGATCCGACGGGCCATCGATTTCAGACCACCAAATGGTGGACCCCTTCTGGCCATTGTCAATGGGTGTCAATGGGTCCCTAGCAAAACTTGCTAAGCCAACTAGCACCTGAGTTCTTGATATCCTCCAAGCCAGGAAAATAGAGACAGCGACACCGACAGCGTTTGGCTGGGCACTTCTCCACCCCTGTTCAATGCTTCCCTCGGTAACGAAGATGGTCAAACTCATCGCTTGAATTCGCTGGTTCTCACTTCCACTTTGTCTTCTGCACCCAATCAGCATCCAAGTATGTCTCTTCTGCACTTCTGTGACCCCAAACAGCTTCCCCAGTGCAATTCCGTGGGAGAAAAAGCTTTTGGGGTTGAATAATAACAAGTGAAACTTTGCCAAAAAGAAACAGGTCACTGGACCTCCGGTCTGGGTATAGTATCTGGCACCTGCTTTTCTTTCTGGGCATGACCCTCCGTTAAAGCTAGAAACATTGGTGTCACGCCTCCAAACAAGTGGGAAACAAGGACACTTCCTCCAAAAGACAGGAACCAACTATCATCACGCTTCCAAACAAGTTGAAACACATGGATATCATCCCTCACAAGTAGAAGTAGAAAAAAGGGAAGAAAACCCCTCACAAGTGCGACAAAACAATTGGTCTCTGGGTATTACTTGTCCAGAAAAGTTGAAACTATGGGCATGACCCCATCAAACAAGTGGAACTGACGGAGGGTTCAGACCACTGGGTCTCCTCACTTCCGATCGAGTGGATTGCCCAAAACAAGGAACCAAACTTTATTCAACACTAAAATGGCTCCAACCCCAAGTGACGAAAGTCCAACTCAGGAAGTGGGTGTGGCTCAAACATAGGGCTCCAAAATGGGTTACCCTAAATGGAAAGATAGACTAAAAGCTGCTGAATTCTGAGCCACACCCCTGCGTGAGTCTCTGCCTGGATTGCCAGTTGCTGCTTTTTCTCCGTCCACTTTACCATCCAAAAATAAGCAGCAGTGACTGAAAAAAGCGATGGCAACTTGGCTATCTGCGTGAGTCTCCAAAATCCTCGTGTCGTCTCTCCTGTGGCAGCTCCGTGGAGAGCTTAGCCTTGCAGTAGGCCTTCACCTCTTTCGCGCTCAGCTTCCCGTCCTCTCCGGCGGAGAAAAAAAACAAAAACACCGCGAATCCGACTTGCCCGACGAAACAAAAAAGGCAACTCGCTCGCCGAGCGAGCTTTTTTTTTCTCGTCGGCAAGTCGGATTTGTTTGGGTTTTCGGGGGTCGACAGGAAACCAACAAAGAAGTGTGTTTCCCCGTTTTTCTATTTCTTTTTCTTGTCTTGAGAATGAACCAATTGAGGTTTGTTGTTTTTTGTGGGAGTATGTCCGTCTCGTGGATTTTGGAGGTTGCCAAAGTTGGTGTCCCTTTTGCGGTTTTGGGCGAACACGAAGTAGCCCAGGGAAGCAAATGAGCACAAAGTAGATCACGATGTACCCAAAGCACCCGGAAACACAACTCGGGTGAAGCTGTGGATGATGACCGGGTTGAGGAAGTGACGGTTGACAATGGAGAGGTATGGGGAGGTTAGAAATCAAGTTGAAGAGGATTAAGTTCAATACCAAGCCCAAGTAGAACAGCGCGACTCACCGAGCACCTCCTACACCCAGCCGCCCGCGGCCCCGACCCTTTTCGGCTCGAGGACGAAGAAAGCTGCCAGTGAATGGCGCACGAGCGTGAGTCCTATTCCCACTTGACGGGAGGTAAAAACTTGAGCCAAACGGCCGTTCGGCCGTTTTGACATATGAAGAAACAACACGTGAACAAAACACACCCCCCTCATCCGATATCTGGACAAGAGAAAGGATGCGAGACAGTTGAGTTCACGACGAAAGGGACCAACCAAAAATGCCGGTGTCAACTCAGAGGTGAGCCAACGGCAGCACCTGGGCCCCAGTTAAAATCCCGCCACCACCCCGAATTAGCGGGGCGACAGGATTATTTGACGAGTGGGCCACATGAGTGAACAGAGACATTATGGAGGAACCAGACGAAGATTCCTCTCGTGCCGTTCATGCATTGTCATGGGACAACAACATGCGGAGGGGGATCCTATCTGGATCACCGCGCCTCACTGCACGCCGCGAAGTGGTTGGAGTGGTAAACGAGTTGGGATCACAGAAGAGAAGGACGTTCCGAAATTGGTGTGAAAATACCCGGCTACGGCCGGCCCGGCACTTCTAGTGCGGTCTCAGCCTCACACAGGATCGCCAGGGGAACCGTCTCCGGCGCGCACGGCAGCGGTGCGGGAGGGACACGAGCAACGCCGGATCAGCGGTACAGGGCAATGGAGACCATCACCCCCAGCAGCGCCGCATAGGCGAGAGGAGGACCGGCGCGGTCGCGTTTCTCGGCGACACACGTACTGTCCTCGCCCTTCTAAGGCGGATGCTGATTGCGGTACCCGCCTACCACCCTGAACCAGGTTCTTCCCGGTCCCTGGGCACGTCGTCTCTCCGGCGTCCACCACGGTCACCTCGATCACCTCCTCCATCCCGACGGCGATCCTCACCACCCCCCCTATTGTGGTCTCCAGCCGGAGGTCGGCGAGGCGGAGGGGGATCTGATTGGTGACGTCGGTCATCCCTGCGCCGGTCCCGGTGGCGATCGCGACGGTCATCACCCGGGTCATCACGTCCGCGGCGCTCATCTCGTCCCGGACCGCGCCTCTCGGAGGTCTCCTCATGACGTGGATGAGGTCGGCGATCATCGCGTCGGCCTCCGCGGTATCCCTGCCACGATCATCCCTTTGTCGGGGCGGGCCAGGATCCTCGCGTCCACCTTTGCCAGGTCGATGTTTTCCTCGACCCTTCCCCTCACCCTTAGGACCGCGACGATCCTCGCGGGCCCCAAGCGCGGTCCTCGACCGATCGTCATCTCGGCGGGGCCGCGACTCATCTGCCGCACGAGTGGTCCGAGGCACATTTGGGGGAAGCTCCCACTCGTCGTTGTCGTCATCGCGCGGATCATAGCCGCCGCGGCCGCCCAAGGAACCGGTGGCATCCCGTGGTGGGGACGCAGGAGTTCCGGGACCGCCCGATCGAAGACGAACTCGGGGAGCCGCGTCCTCGCCGGTACAAGGATCCTTCTGGGTGTAGAAACCCTTGGTCCTGCCCCTTCTCTCCCCACCTTCCACACCGCTTCTCGCGGGGACCGGGGAGGGACGGGCAGGCTGGGCCATGCTCTTAGAGCTGGGTTGCCCGCCAGGCGGGACCTGAACGCCCCCCTGCCCTTTTTCGGGCGCGGGGACCCGACCATGAGATGTCCTCCTGGCCTTGGGTTGGTCGGACTCACCCTCCAGCTCGGA